GCTGTCTGCTCCGGCTGCAGCCTGGGTGCTTTGAGCAGCCCGTCCCTCCACTGTCCCACGCCGACGTAATTCCCCCCCCCCCTTTCACCATCACCACCACCTTTCCTCTCTCCCTGCCCTTAAACACTCTCTCTCTCACGCATACACACACACACACACATACTCACTTTTTGTGCTGCTGACCGTGGTTGCCATCTGGTATCTCGCTTGAAGCCCCTAAAACGCGTAAAAAAGGGGTCCATGATGTAATGACACAGGCGTCTCATCACCCAACAGTCTTTTCTTCTGTTGAACCACCTGATACAGAAACACAGTTGTGGAACAAGTGTAAGGAAAAAATAATAAGCAAAAAAAAAAGTTAATAATGACATTTATGGGCGTTTTAGTATTTGGTCTCCAAAGGTAAATAGCTCGTGTAATGATTTTCTAAATAATAATAATCTCTTTTTACAAACAATCAGTCAAACAGTTAAGGATCTGTTCATGGCATGTTCACCAACACTGGACACACAATTACCTCCGGGGAAAGATATAATTGATCTATAGGCGAATCTATACCTCTCTGGACTGGTTGCTAAGAGACATGTTGGGGCTTTTTCTCTTTTCTGCAGCATTTTCTTCTGGGGAACAGCATTCAAGGGGTTAAGTGCTTGCTGAAAAGTGACGCTTCCCCCTCGGGTAGCTGGTGAGTCCGCTGCAGGTTCAACAGCGCTGTGATTAGACTGTGCACACAAAGATGTCTACAGGGGCAAACACGGTACACAGTGTGAGATTGATGCCGCCCTGTCCTGTCTGGATGGAGGGTGTGATGGGAGCTGGAGCTGTCCGGTGCTGAAATTGTTCTGAACCCGCCACCTCCGTCGGTCTCTCCTCGCTCTTCCTTTCGCCTTCTACCTCTTTCTCAGCCTCGCTTTTGCGTCCTCTCTTTCCTCTCTCACCCCCACATTTTTTTTTTAAAAAAAAGAGGCAGTTGATATAAAGTAGGAACATCTTTGTTAGTAGTTTCTCTATAGTAGTTTCTTGCTAAATATTTTACTTTACTTCATTATATAATATATACTACTAATTTAGCAAATGTAGTTGTTATTAAGATTAAATGTAACATGTTCAACACCTGATATCTAAAACTACCATTAAAGTATTTTGTAAGACCAGTACTTGTCACCTCACATTATAACAACACTGTGTGAGAGGCTGGAATGATTTTCTTAAAGTGCATGAAAAAAGGCAGAGCGATGCTGCTGCTGAAAAGAATGAGGCCAGGGTGATTCCTTCAGGCTGCATAAGTGGAGACAAAAATTCCTAAATGTGATCGAATGCACACAAGAGGGCATCGTCATGAAACCGGCTTTGGTAGTTAGCCTTGATTTTTCTTCTCTTCCTCAGGGTGCTTAGGCCTCCACTGTGCCTTTGAGGGGTGTAGTGGATGTACACTTAGTTCTGTTGCACTGGGGAAGATGACACTTTAATGCAGACAAAAAGCTTGCAGCGACAAAATACAATAAAACTACATGACATCATTTGAAATTATGGGGGATTTTTTTTAATAAATTTGTCACAGGTCAAATTAGTGGGCAGTAAATGGTGATCACTCATTTGAAACAAAGGAGAAACTAATCATTAGGCCTGTTGTTATGAATATGTAGGAAAGGTAAAGTGGACAAAGATTAAAAGAGAAAACAAGAATCGCTCAGAGGCCCACTGGAGGTGATCCTCGTGGAGGCTGGGAGTGAGGAGGCAGTCGGAATAAATCAATGCATATGTGCGTTTGTGCGTGTGTGTTTTTGTTTCTCGCCCTTGGACAAGAAATTAGAGAAGAAGAAAAAAAGGTAGCTAAAGTAAACTGGACTCCTGTAGTAGCCTTTCTTAATCAGGGGTTTGCGGACCACTACTGGTACAGGATAATTTGTATTTCATAATATCCATTTCAAGTTTAAATTATTGTTTAAAGGGGATGTTATTTAAATATTTTCACCTTTTTCATGAAAAGAAATATTCACCAAATCAAGATAATTGACAGAAGTAAAGGTCAAGTTGTCAGGAGAGATTTTCCATCCATCCATTTTCATGCACTTATCCGTTACCGACTCATGGGTGCAGCAGTCTCCACGACCGCCACCCATATCCCACTGCACCAAACCAGCCCCTCGTGAACCTTCCTGCGGGTGGTGAGTCCACTGATTTCTGATTATTTTTCCCGTTGAAGGGATTATTTATTATGGTTATTTCTTATTTTTCTTTTTTTTTTATCAGAAAAGAGTTACATTTATGATGAAGCTGATAATGCTGAATGTACTACTGGGTTTGAATTTCACCCCTCATGTTTTGATGCTAAATGAGGCTATGGGCTCTCATCTGGTAATTCAGATTGGGCTGAGAGTCAGTCAGACATGAATGTAGTCATAGAGAACATCAAGATGATCGTTGCAGAGAGCGGGAGAAGGGGAAGTAAAAACCTAGAGGACAAAGAATTTTTAACATAGCCTGTGACAATGGTTTCCATGACTCATCTTTTTTTTATATATTGCTCCTTTTAGGCGTCACTGCAGGAGCTCATCTGCCTGTATCGTAACCTTGCCTCCTCTACTGTTATACCAACCACCTTCAGTTCTTTCTTTCTGCACCTATGAATACATTCTGGTGTTTTCTTCTGTTTGAATCCTCTAGCTCTTTCTATACATTACTAACCCCCACCTGTCCATCAGTTCTGCCCCCATTTGGTTCCTGTTTAAGTCCTAATCACAGCCTGGCATGTTTTGACAATGTTTTTTTTATTCATTGAATGTAAGTTTTTAACTTCTGGCCTGTGTGTGTTTATTAGAAATATGTTTGTATCCCTTTAAACACCATTAGGAGGGATTCAACTTTCATATATGTAAAGCTGCACGACAGACACATTTCCAATCGATTTACAGTAGCAAACCTGAAAGATGTCATACATATGCTTTTTTGACTCCAACTTGTCAAAATGCCAATAACTGCTCTGATTCACTGGTGAGGCCCAAAAATCCAGACATTAATAGGAATCCAATTGATGAATCATGGCTGAGATGTTTTTTTGGAAACAAATGTGAGTGACAATGTATGTGGGTAATCTGCTAAAGGGTAGACAAAAAAATCCTAAATTTGTCTGGGAATATCGTCATCTGCTGTATGTTTTGACAGAAGTCAGCGGCGAACACACTGCCGGGACTGAGTTAGAAAAGTCACAGACAAAAGAGCGACGATTACTGCTTGTTGTTGCTCATCATTTTCTATCAGTGCACTCAGGGAAGAAAAGTAAAGGTTTGCGTTGGGCATGACTAATACATTTTCCCAAGCTCCTCTGAGACACGGAACAAAATGTGTTTCCTGTTTGATCTCTTTAAATATTCAATTGCTGCAGCAAAGGTTAGCACTTCACTACTGAAAATCATCTCCTCCACCACCAACACATTTGTCACAGACGCCTGTGTTAAATAAAACATTAAACTTTTGGCAACTCCCTTCCTGAATATCAATGCGACATCAATATTTGCCTCCAAAGCTCCTTTTTTAATCTTCTCAATCTCTTCAAAACCAGAAACCCATAGCAACGCACATTTTGCTTCAACAAAGGGCAGTTATTTGGTTTGTAAAGCACGGCCGGGTTTCACATTCAATTGAGTTCTGGCATCAACAGCCCTCACTGTGAGGTGGGCTGCAGGAGCCCTGAGCAAACCATCTATTGTACAGTCCAGACAGGCTGCAAGTGAAGCAAAAACTGGGCCGATTTGCAATACATCACACACGCATGCATACACACACACATGCACGCACACACACAGACACACATATCTTAACGAAGATGTGTCAGTGGGTACAACAAAACACAGTAGCTTTTGTCAGGCATTCCCTTCTTCTATCTTCTACATCCTCTTTCCTTGTCTCTTCTTCCATATTCTCATTCCTGTTCTCCTTTTCCTTCTACTTTGTTTTTTTTTATTTTCTACTTTTGTTTCTCCTTTCTCTCTTTCTTCATCGCTGTATTCTACACATTCATTTCAAACACTCACACACTCATTCAGTTCTCTTCTAATCAGACAGTGTGCCTTCTGAGAGCCAAGGAAAGACAAAATGCCTTTTTTCTGCAAACACACACGTGTGCACACATTTTGTGACGTGGTTTCTCTTTTCCTTATTATTTTAACAGTGTCCGTAAATCAGATTTCAACTCGGTGTATAGTTTATCTCGGTAATAACAGTTCTTATGATCTGATCCATTCAAATAAACACACAACACAGCCTTTTATTTGGCTGACAGGGACGAAACTGTTTATTTCTTATGATCTTAAGCATTGGCCCCTGTAGAATCTAAACCAATAATGGTGGATTATGGAACCCTGACACCAATGTAAAATGTAACAATTTCGCCATCTACTGTCTAAATTTGCAAAAACACTATATCGCAGGAAACGGTAAATTATATTATATTATTACAATATTATATTTTTTCAATTTATTTGAATTAATGAATAATGTGTTGCCATTATGTTGCATTTAATTGCAACATTCTGACATTTACTTTTGAATTTTAGGAAAAGGCAGAATTGGAATAATTATATTAAATATCAGACAAATTTCACGATCACGAGAAACGTTTTAGAATTACTTCAGGGGCCTTATCCCTTATTTTAATATATTACAAATTCCGTTAAGAAATACAATTAAATTTTGTGGCTCTTTTCCTCCGCAAATAAATATAAGCTATAAAAAATACACGACGTTTGTAATTGCCGTTGAAGTTTCCATTTATTCAGAGTTGTTTCTACTTTCTAAGGAGTTCAAACAATTTATCTTAAATCAGTTTTGTCTCTGTTTGTTTTTATTTTACTCCTATCCATTTTTGACAAGCAGCGGAACAGTGCATAGGATCTGTATGTTGTTTGTTTCCAGTCGGCGTGTTTTTGGCAACGTACTGATCTCGCCCGACAACATCACAAATCTAGGATTATAAGGTAATTGTACCGCATTTACTTTACTGAAAAACATATATGTACTTGTCTGTAATTGGTTTTATTCTACATGCTGTTGTTACTGTCATTTAAATGAGATGTGTGTATTTTACTAGATACGACTTTTTTGTCTGTTAGCCCGCTAGCTACAGTCAGCCACCTAGTTTCCTGAGCCAATCCAGCTGTAGTGGCTTCCCTCACAGATTTGTAAACACCTTTTTTATTTGTCCTTTGAAAACCTTTAAGTCTTGAAAATAACACGCAATCGAGCTCAGTCGGGCTGCTGCAAAAAGTAGCTGATGTTTTAGCGCTTGACCAGTATTTGCGCTGTGTTTTTAGGGCAATGGAGTTTGCAGAGCTAATAAAAACACCCAGGGTAGACGGAGTTGTCCTTCACCGACCTTTCATGCCCACCGTGGAGGGGACACTGTGTTTGACTGGCCACCATCTGATTCTGTCCTCCAGGCAGGACAACACGGAAGAGCTATGGCTGCTACACTCCAACATAGACTCCATAGAGAAGAGGTGACGGTCATGTGATGGCTGCCATTTATTTGATTAAACAAACAGCAATGGTTTCATTGGGGAGTTCGTGCTTAAGGTGTATTTTCTATCATAACTCCTGTTTGCTCACTTAAACAAAATGTTCACTGGATTTTCAGGTTTGTAGGTTCTCTAGGAAGCATTATTGTCAAATGCAAAGACCTGAGGGTGATCCAGCTGGACATACCTGGAATGGAGGAGTGTCTAAATATTTGCAACTCTGTTGAGGTAAAAAGATTAGACTGTACACAATACCTGTATCTGCTAAATGTTTACTGTAGTAAATGGTGTTATCCTTAAACAACAATTTTGTATGTTTTTCCTAGGCTCTTTCAACACTTGATTTAGTTTCACTGATGTACCCTTTCTTTTACCGACCCATGTTTGAGGTCATGGAAGATGGCTGGAAATCTTTCCTTCCAGAAGATGTTTTTAAAGATTTGGAATCTATGGTATGTCTGTGCATAAGAACAGAACAATTGCACGTTTTACACAAATTATTTTTTCTTAAATATTTATAAATTCCTTTTAATTAGACTGATGAGTGGAGGCTGAGTGAAGTCAACAAGGATTTTAGCGTGTCTCCGTCATATCCCCCTCTGGTGGCAGTGCCTAAAGATATTGACGATGAAACATTAAGGAAACTGGCCCCTTTCCGCCACAGTGGCCGCTTCCCGGTACTTAGCTACTACCACCGAAAGAATGGCATGGTATGTGTTTTCTTTTTATGTATCATTTTGGAATATACCATTATAATGACACGTTTGTCTCCTGCACGCTCTTAACAAAATATCTTCTCCACTCTAAGGTGATGATGCGAGCAGGGCAGCCTCTGACTGGAACAAACGGGCGACGATGTAAGGAAGATGAAAAGCTAATCAATGCTACCCTGCGACCAGGTAAACGTGGATACATTATTGACACGCGTACTATCAGTGTTGCTCAGCAAGCCAAAGCTCGAGGTGGAGGATTTGAGTCTGAGGCTAATTACCCTCAGTGGAGGAGGATTCACAAGTCCATTGAAAGGTCAGTTCTGCAAAAAAGTGAACTTGAGATCTTTAAGACTGTAAGACTATTAAGAATGTTTTGGGTTTTTTTCTTCACTATAAAACATATTGTTAAAGAGCAGCACCTCTACTTTAAATTTAGAAACTTCTTCTAGCATTGTGTGGTATTTGTTGTTTCCAGGGCTAATGTCCTTCAGGAGAGCCTGATCAAGCTGGTGGAGGCGTGTAATGATCAGTCTCACAGCATGGACCGTTGGTTAAGTAAACTGGAGGCTTCCAGCTGGCAGACTCATGTCAAGGAAATCCTCACCACTGCTTGTCTTGCTGCCCAGTGTATTGACCGGTCAGTGAAGCTCATGTTCAGTGGACATTGAGAAAATCATGGTGTTGTGTACGTTTCATTGACATTTTGTCATCTTAAATTTTCGGACAGGGAGGGAGCGTCAGTACTCGTTCACGGTACAGAGGGGACAGACTCCACCCTCCAGGTGACCTCTTTGGCTCAGATTATTCTTGATCCGACCTGCAGGACTATCAGAGGGTTCCAGGGACTGGTGGAGCGAGAATGGCTCCAGGTAAAAGTTTCTGAAATTCTCAAAAGCCTCAAGTTCAGCAACTAAAATGATTTTCATTGGTATCTTCTATCTCTTAAACACAAAAACAAATATGCAGGAACACACTCTTTAAAATCGGTTTAATGGTTCAGTAGTGCTTTTATCTCTTTTGATATGCACTCTGTCAGGCGGGTCATCCATTCCAGCAGCGCTGTGCCCAGTCAGCCTACTCCAACAACAAGCCCCGCCAGGAAGCTCCTGTCTTCCTGCTCTTCTTGGATTGTGTTTGGCAGATTCTTCGCCAGTTTCCCTGCTCTTTTGAATTCACAGAGAGCTTCCTGGTGCTGCTCTTCGAACATGCTTATGCTTCTCAATTTGGCACTTTCCTTGGAAACAATGCATCTGAGAGGTATGTCTAGTTTAGGCACACGTGTCTGGTGTTTTTTGTTTTTTACAAAAAATGAATAAGACGGAGTAGGAATTATGAAGATTATTAACAACAATATTGATTCACATTTATTCTAGAGCAAAGCTGTCTCTGCCTGAGAAGACGGTGTCCCTTTGGTCCTGGGTGAATCGGCCACAGGAACTGGAGCATTTGACCAACCCTCTGTATGAAGCCAACAGTCTGGTCATTTGGCCCTCAGTGGCCCCTCAGAGCCTGCTGCTGTGGGAAGGTAAACTTGAATTAGTATTTTATACAAACATATTTTATTACTGTATTATGGTCAGTTCCACAGCCTGTGAGTTACTTATCACTGCTCTTAATAATATTTAATCATATTAAGTTTTTTCTTGAGTACAATTAATGAATTCCAACATTAAGATGTAAATCTGTGATCATTAATGTGTGGTAAAACACCAGTACAGGTTCACACAATACACCATGTACATGTGTAGTTGACTTTGTCATAATGTTTCTGCTGTTTGTTTTACGGGGCAATGTCTGTTGGATTTTCTAGTCATGCTGATGTTAGAAACGGGCGCCTGACTCACAATCCACAAACTAGTTTTTACCAAAGCACATCATGTGATTGGAGTTCTTAGAATGACTTTGTACATTTTGCTCCCCGATCAATGTCACACCATTTATTGTGTGCTTCAGTGGTGAGGTCTTTCGTGACAGTGGTCAGCTGATTCTTTTCATTTTATTGTTAATCTTTTGCTAGTTATAAATAGCTGTGTGGGGAGAGTCAAATGTCGCTGTAACGCTTCCACAAATTTTTAAAGATAAAACATTTTCTAAAATGTGTGGGGAAGCCTTTGGTGACCTCAGAAAAAACAACCCCACATCATTATCCCTACTCCACAAATCTTTACGTTTGCTACAATGTCCTCAGGATGCTGGCGACATTCTCCTGATGTTCACCAAAGCCAGACTTTTCCATTAGTCTGACACACAGAGAAGTGTGATTCAACACGTCATGGATTAAATTTCCACCTCGGAATCCAGGAATGGTGTGTAGTAATGTGTTAAGCTTCTGGCAGCTGCTAAACATAGAAGGCCATGTCACGTTACTGAAGTTTATGGTGTTATGTTGTAAATAAGAAGATGAGTTTTTAAAGTTATCTAGATCTCCACTATATTTTTAATCTTTGTCTGGTAAAGAAAATGAAAGATGCACTTAGAATTCTACAATTAAGAGCTGTGAGTTATTTCCTATTTGAACAGGGTCCTTTACGAACTACGACCACAAGGGGGCACCCTTCGCCTTGTGCACCAATGTCTTATCAGGTGAAACCGCGTATAGTCGAAATGACTATATACTGGGCCTTTTCCAGTTTTTTAGCATTGCTCTGGGTTCCTCTGGGTAACCCTACATTACGTGACTGCTCAGCTTGGTTGTTTGTTTTGGGTTTTTTATTCTTTTGAAGCACACTATCATCTGAGCTCCCTGACATTTGACAGTAATAGTTTTGGTTCTTTGTTTCCACATGTCACAGTTAAACAGGTGAATTACTGTGTCAACATAGTGAACATATTTACATGTATAAATTCAAGTTGTTTGAGGTTTTTTTTATCATTTTAAATAAACCAATAACCAACCGTTGCAAGAAATAGAAATATAATTCAAATATATATAGATCAATAAATGTGTTTAGTTATTTGCAGAATTGTCCTAACTCATTCTATTCCCTCTCCTGAACCGTGAGCTCAAGTTCTGTGCCTTGAAAAAAATCTGAATCCCACCCAAGTGGGAGGCAAAGGTCATTTTTAAAGCAAAATAAGAGGGAGGTGGTCTCAACATCGGGGTCACTGGGTTCAGACGTTACCTAATAAGGCCCCTCTTTACCCCCCCGTCCCGCCTAATGCATCAAGGCCACACCCCTTTCTATATGAAGTGCAGCATAGGATGGCTGACTGAAGCATGTGATAACATGGTAACGCCTGCTCACACAGCTCTACCACAGGGAATGAAGCACACTGCTGCGTTAACCTGGAATACTGAATCAAGTCTCCATCTGGAGACACCAGACCATGTTTACAAAAAAACAACCTGTGTTCCAGTCTCACACATTGTCTGCGCTGTGGACAAAGAGACTTTTTATTGTAGATTCACATGGACTTGATTTGTTATATAACTAAAAGAATCTTATTAATGAAAAGAAAAAAACTGTTTTTCTATGCCAGAGAATTCCTTCTTTGGAATCTGTCATGCAAAGAAAAAAAAAGAAGTTGAAGTTTCAGGTTTCTATTTGAAAGTTTCTATTAAGGCTGTTTTGACTTCTTTTTAAATAGCAAATTTAATGTCACATGTTTTTTCCAGTCAACCAGTTTCACAATTTTACTTAATTTATTTCCCAACCCACCAAAAAACCTAGAATTGGAGAACAGAGCACTTTAGATTTGAGTGAATTTTTTTTCCTTTTCTTTTGACAGGAGTGTTCCTGCGCTGGAACCGCTCATCCAAATGTTTTGACGAAGCCTATGAGGAAATGGTTCATATAATTGAGTATAACAAGGAACTACAGAACAAAGTAAACGCTCTGCGCAGGCAGCTGGCCCAGCTGGAAACTGAAGATCCTCTTCTTCAGACACCATAGAGACAGAGAGGGAGGGAGGGAGAAAAGGGAGAAGAGAGAGAATTTGTTCATTTGCATCTGTATGTATGTATGTGTGTGTTTTAATGAGACTGAAAGAAAGAGAATATAAATACTGAAGGAAATGAGGTCAGGAAATAAAAAAAAAAGAAAATATCAGTGTTTCACGCTTCATTAACTAAATCATTGCTTTTTCTAATTTTGTTTGTGGCCATACAACGAACCTCAATGTAAAACAGCAAAACATTTAGGGAGAAAAGAAAAAGCAATTGTTTGGCAGCAGGATCTTTTTGTAATAGACTCAAGACTTAACATTCCAGCTCAGTTCAATAGAGTGGACCATCATGTAGTTTCACCCAAATCAGCATGTAGTGCCTGTTTCTTCACAAATGTTCTCTGCTGATGTATACTGAGATACAGAGGCATGTAATGGGAACATACTAGAGGCATTTTCTTCCACCTGCTACTCAAAGTAAACACTGCTAATGTACTGCAGTATAACTATGGCAACATATGACAGATTCAGGAGGAGGCAAGAAGGTAGCATGTTACTTTACTGCACATCCAGATGATATAATCAGCGTAGGAACAGGGTCAACGCCTACTGTGATGCACAGTACGTTCGTCAGATCATTCCAGCTGTAGGATGTTTGTTATAAGCAATGGTTCAATTTAAAATGTTTTTTTTTACTTGCTGCAAACCTTGTCAAAAAGCATTAGGAAAGAGTTTTCACAATTGCAAATATTTATTTAAATCAACCTACTGTGTTGTCAAATATCAAAATGAATAACACACTAGTAAGAAAGAAATAGTCTAACAGTGGTACAGAGGTTTATTTTCCTCTTATGTGTGGCTACAAGAGCCTGGCTTTTACTATGATACTTGACAGTTGATAACAGGAGTTCTTCTACTTTATGCCACAGGATATTCTACAAACTGTAGTGATATAATGATGTGTTGAAATGCATTAATGTTCAAAAAGCATATCTGTTGGTGTGAAAAAGCTTGGGCACTTTTTTTGTTTTGTTTTTGTGGTTATTTTTCTGTATTCTTGGAGCCATTGTAATGTACAACAATATCAAAAACACACTTGAGGTCAGGGTTGCCTTAATGGAAACTAAAGGTTCTTTGTCCAATGTGAAAACATGCCAAAAGTAAAATGTTTACTAAAGCATTTACTCTAAACCTGAGATGAAGAGGAGAGAACAGACAGTGTCTCTTGTGAAAGTTCATCCTCATGTGAGCTGAATCCAATATTCCATTTATTTTCCTAACCAGCACTGAACTAATCATAGATGTTCCATGGTCTAGAAATTACACACTGCCTTTGTAGGCTGTAATTCTGGCTAAAATTGGAGACGTGACTAAATTTTCATCATCATCATAGTGATATTCAAGTACAGACTGTAGGGAATGGTAGCTTTTTCTTTATCCCCAACATTTCAAGGAGGAAATTCTATCTGGATCCAAAACTGGATTAATTGCTTGAGCTGGAGTTTCATTTTTGCTCAATTGCATGTTTACCTTTAAGAAATATAATATTCGCAGTAGAGAAAACACATCGGCTCTGTAAAATCCTTGTTTACATAAAACTTTAATGTCTCTTGTGTCTCTCTAATGTTGTGTTCACTTCCTGCAGCCAAAAATACTCCATATGCAAGAAATAAAAAACAAAAAATGTTTTGTTGTTATTTTGCTCTTTATCTTTGTTGATTTGTCATAGAAAGAATTCAGGTCTGTCAATCAACTTTAATGCCTGTAATGTATCACTTTGTGCAATGCCTAACTGTGAAATCAGAATAAAAAATAAAACATACACATTCATTTGTTGTTTTTTTTTGTCATTCAAGATTTAAGAATCTTTTGTCACATGCCACTGACAACAGATAATAACAGTGAAGGTAAAGCGGGAACAGGGTACAATTATTGTCTTTTATTGGAAATGTCTAACATGAAGAGGAAGCTCAAACACCCATGACCCATTTACAACATACTCCCATACCAGGAGTTGAACCCGGGGCCGCCTCGGTGTAGCATTCATGGCACTAAAAAATTTAACTCAAAACTCAGGTCATGTTAGACATATACACTGTGAAAGATTTAATAGTGCAATATAAAAAAATATTTTATCAACATTATTTTAAATGGCTCATCAATTATTAATTTGTTGTCTCTCCTAATACTTGCCAAATAAACATATCTGCACTGATAAATATATAATATTCAATGTCAGCCAAGGACACTCGGCGACTGTCCAGTGTAATGTTGGGTGTCAGCAGAGCGGTGTTTTTCCAAACCTTACACACGCATATGGCGTGTACAAGGATAAGTAAACAGCACGTCAAGTCACCTCACAAAATGTCACCACTGTAATGACGAGGTGATCACCTGATCACCCAGGAATAAATAGCTCCAACATCAGCTGCTTCATTTGGGAACGTTACGGCAGCTGTTGGTCTGATCCTTCACAAATGCACCTGACTTAAAACAGGACATGTCTCTAGGAACACTCGGTTAAACATTTTAAACATTTAGATTCAGTTGGTAGTTTGGGTGAAATCTAAACGTTATCTTGCAGCTGTGAAGAAAAGTCAAGGCCTTTCTTTGTTTTTTTCTTTACTTTCCTGCCAGCATCGTGTTCTTTAGAGATAGGAAATGGTCCAAGCTGGACACGTAGAATCTAGCGTTTGTTTTGACGTTTGAAAAATATGTCACTCTAACGGTTAACTTGTTTTGGAGTAAGATGATTCCCACTGCGATGATGCTGTGCATGGGGGTGTGCTCCTTTCCACCAGTCACAGTACAGCACAGACCTAAGGCCCAGCCTTTTACCCCACTCCACTCAGGGACATTTCCAAACCTCCTTGGCCTTCTTATCTACTGCAAACACTTCTGAAAGCCAAACACAGGGTGTGCTTACATGTTATTCCTTTGCCAAGACCACACATAAATATGAATGGATTCTCTCACGTGCAAATAAAGGCAACTGTTGGACTTTACAACCGTTTCAGTCCAGCAGCAGAGTTCATTTGTTGTTATTCAAGGCAAAAAGTTCAAATAAAGTAAATTGAATGAAGACATTTGTACTTGGGGACCTCAGCTGAAACATCACACCCTCTGCAATATTCAGCAAATAACAATTGAATACGTGAGAATACAAACAAATAACAACAGATAAAAGGATAAAAGGAGTAAAAAATGGTGATGCAAACGAACAGACCAGTCTGCTGTGACATGGGGTGTTCAAGGCACAGGAAATGTCACAATTACTTCTGCTTCACAGATGAAAAGAAGAGTGAGCAGTATAATATCTACACAAAATCCATTTACACTTAAGGTAGGTCATTTAAGTGTTAATGTCCAACCAACAAATACCTGTGTTGTGCCTTAGTTCTTGGGGACCCAACTTGGTCCTGACCCTTTTTCAGCTTCAGCTTTAATTTAGTCTTGGTCATCAATGTATCATTACACAATTGGCCATGACTGCTTGCTTTCTGGGGGCAGTGGTGGCTTAGTGGTTAAGGAAGTGGCCTTGGGTCTGGAAGGTTGCAAGTTTAAATCCACCAGCTGCCAAGTTACCACTGTGCTCTGAGCATGGCACCGCTCTCACACACTGCTCCTCGGGCACTCAAAAAGCTGCCCACTGTTCACTTTGGTGATGGGTCCTTTCCTTTCCTTAAAAGTCTGGTTTTCCCTGAAAGAATTCCCTGAAAGCACTAGTTTGAATCCATTTCATTATTTTCAAGGTCTTGGTTATCTTTGTTTGGGCTCCAATGACTTCAGACCTGCCTCTGAGTTATTAGCAAAACATTATACTTGAACAACATTTGGTTCCTTAAATTCTTTCTTTACTTTTCACTTGGCCTTGATCCTTACAAAGTCTGGTTTTAGATCCTTATATACATATATGGTTCAAGTCTTAGTAATCAGTGTACTCTAAAGGCTGTAGTACCTGTCTTGATTATATTTTTTCTTTATATATATATATAATTTTAAAACATCCTTGTTTTGAACTGGCTTTAATCCTGACATTGGTACTTGGACATTTCCTGTCTCTAAACTTGACCCGGTCCTAGAATAGAATAGAATAGAATAGAATAGAATAGAATAGAATAGACAGCATGTGGTGACGAGAAGTCATGAATCCACAAAGCCTCACAGAATGTTCTGAATGGGCGCACAGACGCTGTGGGCGTGGACTGTGAAAGGGGACCGCACCTCCGAGCATCCGCCAATCAGAGAGAAGCCGGCTTCCTCTTTACGCAGATGTCCGCTGATATATAGACTGAAGCTGATGCAACACCCGCTGAAAATAACACAGGCATCAGCTCAGCTGAGGAGGAATAAGAAGCATCTTTCGTGTGCTCATTAAATAACCCCGACAGTCTTTCTGCTGGTTTACCGGTGAGTAACTATGGATTATATTATATTATTGTGTTGTCTGTGTCATTCTTTGTGCTTCCGTATAAAATCAAATTACTTAATTTGACTTGAAATATCATTTAGGACTAATTTACGCAATGATGTTAAGCCGTTGTTAAGTCTGTCGGTCTCCCAGTGTGTGTTGGGTTCATCATAATGTGTTTCATCATTTTAAACCTTATATTGTGGTTCATACCAGCTTATACCAAATTAGCTAACCTACAGAGGAATTTAATTTAGTTAAATTAAATAATGTAAGAGTTTAAAAAATAAAACAAATTATTATGGCATGATATTAAATATCTAAAATGCAGACACAGTTGAAAACGGATAGTTTTAAGAACACTTTTCTAAATCAGTGGGTATTTTACGCGTGTGTACCACGTGAAAACCAGCCTTTCCGATAGGCTGCGGGGCTATCCCGTTGATCTTTTTTTTTTAAAATAAACAATGACATTTGGCGTCAGCAAACGCGTGGGTTTCAACTGAGCCCCCACGTGGACCACCCTATTTTTTTTTTTAAATAAACAATGACATTCGGCGTCAGCAAACGCGTGGGTTCCAATTGAGCCCCCACGTGGACCACCCTCCCTCCCTCCCTCCCTCTTCTCCTCCCTTTTCCGACTCAACTGATGCTTACGCACATGAGGTTTACGTAAAACCTTGTTGGCACAACAGTTTGGGTGCAGCGTCTGGGTGTTCAGGAGGCGCAGGTGCGCGTGGCGTCTATGCGCAAGTTTCCACTTGTGACGGGAATATTTTGGCCCCAATTCATCTTTGAGTTTTGGCAAGTTTGAGTAAGATGTGCATGGAATCTGGTTTCTAAAACCTTGTCCTATCCTGTCGGGGAAATTTAGGAACGTTAGAGTGGTATTATCGTGGCTGAACGCCCTCCTTTCCTGATTGGTTCTTGGCCGAAGGCAGGGCTGTATAAATACACTGAAGTTACGCTCTTTCTCTCTTTTTGGAAGCTCCCAGCTTACTCGGTGAGTAAAGTACTTCCCATATTTAGGGCGCAGAGATTGACTAACTTCATTTTACGCATGGCTCTGGGGTTGAATGATTGTGTTGTTAGCTGAATTGTGTTTTAAAAACGCGCACGGATTTGTTGCATAGCTCCCGGAACAAATCGGAGGTTTAAATTTACATCGTGATGAATTTCATAAGAAATGAACAGAATGTTTTGAAAGGAGACGAAGGCGTTGCCATGCACTGCAGGAGGGCGCCCCGCCTGTGTGCAAACAAAGAGGGTGAACCAAATACGCACAGTTTCCTTGCAGGAAAAAAAATGTTTTGTTCCTCCTTTTGTGATTCAGTATTTCACCACAGATGTGCAGGAAATGGTTATACATTTAATCATCTTGCCACTGAGTCAGTTTTACCGTCTGCTCATCTCTGTGCTTTGGCGCTTGACTTGTGGCAAGGAGCCCTGTTTTCCTTCTCTTCTTGTCTGGTCAAAACCCACAACTGGGAAAGGGCCCTCTAGAAGAAGGCAGTCAAATAGGGAACCTTCATTAAAGCAGTAGGAAAAATCTCTGAATACTTGGAGTTGAGTTAGCTCTGGTTTCCAGTGTATAGTCCCTCTGTATTCAAAGTAGTTTTTTTCAGAGATTTTTTTCAACTCTGTTATCCAACAGGCTAATTGTTATTTTCTTCCATAGCTATAAGCATGACAGCTATCAGGAACCTCTGCACAGTAGCCAAGCGGGCCCTGCTCAGCAGCCCTGGGTGTGTCTGCCAGCCTTCAGCAGTGGCTGTTCGCCACATCAGCTTCTCCCCAAGACAGGTGACGTCTGATGCCAGCTTCCATTCTGTGTCTTTCTCAGAAACGGACCATCCCAAGGTGCTCATCACAGGTAGGCAACATCTGTTTTGCTATGTTGTAGCACGACTTGTAATTTTAGTCGTCGTTACGTAGTTGAGGGGCAGACGTCTTAAGAATGTCATGTATGTTTGTGTGAGTGGAGGCAGGGCCGAGGTGTTGGTGTTGGTACTGTGGCCTTCAGGTCCTCTCTTTGGTTGTGTCTCCTTGGAAACCAGCACCATCTTAAATGTTTGTCTCCTTCTGTCATATACAGGTGGCCTGGGGCAGCTGGGAGTGGGGCTCGCCATCTTGCTGAGGTAAGAAAAAAAAAAAAAATTTTAGGCAGACATTCTGATTCCTATTCAAGTGGAATAATGATTTCCTTCTTTACAGGAAGAGGTTTGGAAAAAACAATGTCATTCTGTCTGACATTAGGAAACCTCCCAGCAATGTGTTCCACAGTGGTGAGTGAAATCATACACAGATGGAATGGTTTAGAGCAGGTGCCCAATAAAGAGCTTAAACTCCCAGTCTTAGCTAATGTACATAGACAGTTGTGTTTGTTTTTGTCTCCATTTGTATTTGACATATGACTAAAAGCTCCATCGGGTCATATTGATTTTCATTATCTTTGCTGGAGAGCACACTGTTGCGTTTTGTCCCTGAAATGTTGATGGTGAATTTACCTGAGTCAATATGTGACGCATGGTGAGCTGTGTTCTCTGTGTAATGAGATGTCACAAGGACATAATGAATGTGGCGAGTGATGTTCTTTAACAACAACATCAATAAATGCAGGATATGTAGAAATGGTTACTTTTATAGAAAAAGAAATAGTGTAACTTCTAGAAAACCAATATAGGTATAAATCTACCAGACAAATAAAAAGTTATTTTAAAAAAAACCTTAATTTCTTTTTTCCACCAGGTCCCTTCATCTACTCGGACATTCTGGACTACAAAAACCTGCGGGAGATTGTGGTCAACAATCGCATCACGTGGCTGATTCACTACAGTGCCCTTCTCAGTGCCGTCGGAGAGGCTAATGTGGCTCTAGCACGTTCTGTCAACATAACTGGTGAGTGATAATCTCCAGTCCTTCCATTTAACAGTGATAGGTCTTTTTCCTGTGATAAGCCAGTTTAGGTGACATCTCCTAACAAGGGTTTCCTTGTCTGTATTCAGGCCTACACAACATCCTGGACATCGCTGCAGAGCACGGCCTCCGCCTGTTTGTCCCCAGCACCATCGGTGCCTTTGGTCCTACTTCCCCACGTAACCCTACGCCAGATCTTTGTGTGCAGAGACCTCGGACAATCTACGGTGTCTCCAAGGTCCACGCTGAGCTGATGGGAGAGGTGAGCTCTCAGATCAATACGCCTGCAAGGACGCTCATCCTTGACGTATTGACTTATTGTTATTAGAGCTGTCTTTGTATTAGGCAGTATTGACACCTTTTAAACAAATATCTATAAATGGTTCCCTTCTGCTGCAACAGTACTACCACCACCGATATGGCCTGGACTTCCGTTGCCTTCGTTACCCAGGGATCATCTCCGCTGACTCCCAGCCTGGAGGTGGAACAACAGGTGGGCCGGGTTAAAGTGACACTCAATGCTCCGAGGGCGTCACTCAAAAAGTTCATTATATAACTTGCACAGCCTGAAGTGTTCTCATGGAGATCGTGACACGTGGCTTTGTCAACGTTTTTTTTTTTTTTTTTTTTTGTGATTATCTAAACTACTTACTGCCATTTACTGTTTCAGTTAATCGTCTTAACAATGTAAATAAAGCAATAATCTCTGTTTCCCATCAGATTACGCGGTCCAGATTTTCCACGACGCAATCAAAACTGGCAAATTTGAGTGCAATTTGAAATCGGACACCAGGCTGCCCATGATGTACATCGACGACTGCCTGCGGGCCACGTTGGAAGTGATGGAGGCGCCCGCAGACACACTGAGCATGAGGACCTACAACATCAATGCCATGAGCTTCACCCCAGAGGAGCTGGCCCAGGAGATCCAGAAGCAGATGCCTGAGCTGGACGTCACGTATGACGTTGACCACATCAGACAAGCAATTGGTTAGTTTGTTATTTTTTTATTTTTTGGAATAATAGATTTTAAGAAATAATAACATGAGGAAATCTCATAATCTGGGTGTTTTGTGATCTCTGACCTCTGCTTCTTGCTTCTCCCGTAGCTGACAGTTGGCCGATGAACTTCGACGACTCCAACGCAAGAAACGACTGGGGGTGGAAACATGAATACGACCTTCCGGAGCTCGTCCAGACAATGCTTAACTACATTGGTACAGAGACATGCATGGCTCGCGTTAACTGAGCGCATCAGTCTGTGTATTCTCTTGAACATGAAAAGTATAGACTGACCAAAGAGAATAGAGGAACACGGCATGTACATAGTAGTTCTCTCTGTAAAATCAGAAGGGCTCTGCTTGCCTGGTGCAAGGCTCTTGTCTCCAGAGTCTAGAACCCAATGCAAGCCAGCCAATTGTCCCAGCTCTTGTCCAGCTGCTTCCGCTTTGTTCTTTTTTCTCTTAACTGCTCAGAGATTGAAGATGGAGAGCAGATATGGTGGGTGATGGTTATGGTTATTCAATCAAACAGCAGAGATTGAAGATGGAGAGCAGATATGTTATTCAATCAAACACTGTTGGATAAAAATGACGGATGAAAAGATGGCTGGCATGTGAATGAATTACTCAAGTCTTGTGTTCCTGGCAAACAAATTGAGGACATATTTTTATTATTTGAGGGCCTCATGGGAAGCTGGAGCCAATCCCAGATGACAGAAAGAGGTGGGTTAAGCCCTGGACAGGTTGTCATTCCATCAATCCATCATAATAGATTCCCTAATTAACCTAAGCATCTGATTGGACAGTTGGAGGCGGACCAAACCAGAGAGAATCCACAAACACTTGGGGGAGAAAGAAAACAGCTTCCAAACTTAAAAAAAAAGTTATGGTTAAACCAGGACTCCCTGAAATATCTTCTTGCTGTAGGTCAGTAATGCTGCCCACCAAAATGTTATGTATTAGGTGGGAAATGCCTTTATATTTGTTTTTAGGTGAGGGTTTGTCTGCTTACAATCTCCACGACTTTCCAATTTAAAATGTTGCATGCTTGCAAATGAAAAAAAAGAGATTATTTTTGGAATGAGGGATTTTCAAGTACACATGTTGTGTCCTCTGCACTTTAGAGAAATCTGTCCTAAATTATCTGAGGGGTAAAGGAGCCCGGAGGTGAATCCTGATACAGTGCATCTATTTTTATTTTATTTTTGAGCTGTGGGGAGTCTTTGTTCTAATGAGATATTCTTCTGTTTATTCCACGTTATTTATTGTCTGCTGTTAAAAGGTTGGTGCTTAATCAAAATGTTTGTTAAACAATTTTCTGGTCCACTGAGTCTGCCACCGTTAGTGGTTTCTGTATTTCAGCTTTCTGTGAAGGTAAATGCTGAAATGGGTTTCTTTGAAAGTATTCAAGTCTAAATGTCTTTGTTTTACAAAATTGTTCAAAAATAAAAACTTTTTTCACATCTTAGTTTTTTTTTGTGTTTTTTTTTTTTTTTCCAGCCAATCACGACACGTAAAACAGTTTAATCCCATAATTGGCTCAGTTTGTTGCGTAAGCTGATCTGCAGGTTTGGTTCATACATTAGGGTGACGATAAAAAAAAACCCAGCAAATGACTACATTGTGCTCATAGTTTAACTGAACATTTTCATGCCTGAGGCACTGTTCTATGTTCTGACTGTGGTAGTTGTTTTGTTTTAATTTTTTTGTAATGTTTTTATTGCACTCCTAAATGACTTGTGAATGTGAGCACTATAATAAGCATTAACAAAGATGCCTTTACAGTGCTGTAGCATTTTATGCATGTCATGAACAAGTTGATACTTGCATTGTTTGAAGATATTTGCACAGGCGCCATCTCTTATATGAGATATATGATTAATGTGACACTGTTAAATATAAATTGGTGTAATATTCAGTGGGTTTTATAACAGTAAAATTAATTTTACTGGTGTAAAAGACATGAACACAAATATTTTACAAACAACAAAGAGGACAGGCCAGCAGTTTGTAACAGAGGGAAATGGTTAAATCACAACATTCGCTGAGAAACTGCCACCCCAGCACATCAATAAATGCACTAAACCAAAGCTTCTGGAGTTATTTGACCATAACGTATAACCCTGAGGACAGCAATGTCCTCCACTGCACGCATGAGAGCCTCTCTTCAATTTCTCTATGTCAGTAATTGCTGCTGTCCCCAAATGACCTGGTCTGGTTTTGTGTTTCAGTTGTCCCAAGGAAAGATCTGTAAGAACAGAGCTCCACTTCATTCAGCTGAATTTACTGTAAAAACAAGTTGAGCTGTTGTGTGAGTCAGAAGTCATCCACCCATCTAGGTAAGCAGACTTTCCAACTAATTCAACTGATCAAATGCAGTATGATTCGTTTCACTTGACTTTTGCTTACAGCCATCCTCCCAGAAATAAACACTGCATCAAAAGCACAGGAAGAAATGGAAGAAATTCTATAGACAGCTGCTGACATTGTGATCATAAGAAGACAGGAAAACACGTGTTACAAACAGATGCCAAAACATGAGTATGGGTACTATTTTGGCTAGTAGCAGTTACCAGATTCATGAGAGGCAGTCTTACATACACCATTAGCACAAACTGTAGAAGGCAGATGGTCTGGAGGGTGTAACAACAACAATAATAATGTCATAAGATGATACTGTCATTTGTGGTAACAATAAGGGACAAATTAAAAAGAAGCTGAAGATATACGTGGAGCTCTGCACTGTGGAGAAAGGGGAGGATGAAGGTTGAGTTCCCCTGCTGTGGGTAAGGACAGCTGCAGAGTTTAAAAACAGGAGGTAGGAAAAATACTTTGTAGTTTAGGTTAAATTTGAGAAGCAAAGTGGAGATGGTGTTTGGACATGCTGAGAAGAGATTGTGGTGATATGGACAATGGGTTTGGGGGACAGAGAAACCAGGCAAGAGATAAGGGATAGAAACCAAAGAAAATAGAAGAAAGTGAAGGAGAACTTAAATATGTTTTGTGTAACACCGTAGAACATGAAATGGTACATGATCCATGGTGGTAACGCCCAAATACAGCAACCCAAAACTGAAAAATACTTCAAATCAGTTCCTTTTGAAGTCTTCTAAACTGAGCCTTGGTTGACTGTCCCCTAGTGATAATAATGTTTACTCCTGACTGCTGTGGATCCTCCCAAAAGGTTCCAGAGAGTTGAAGGAAGATGTTGTAAAACAAAGAATGACCCGAGCCTCACATTTAACTTTGTCTTTCTAGGGAAACCTTGTCTGTTATGTAACGTGTCTCACACTCTTGTGCACACACACACACACACACAGGTCTCAGTACGGCCAATCAGAGCAGCTTTTCTGTTGCTTGGGCCCCAATGTTTTGTTCTTGATCGTGTAATAAGATTCTCACAGCAGTGGCTTACACATGACCGGGACAGAAAGTGAAGACTGAAAGAGCGAGAGAGAGGGAGAGAGAGAGGGAGAGAGAGACAAAGAAAACCCAGAGGAGAGAAGAACTGGGCAAGAAGCCAGAAAACTCCATAACACGCTGTACCATAGTTGTAACTCTACATAAAGACCTGTTGCCATGGTAATTTGGAACAAGACCCAACCACCACCCTCCCACCCTTTAGCCTCAGGAAAGTGACTACAGTATACAGTATGCAGCCTGGCTTATAGTACATACTGTCATATAGCAGTATCATGCAGTTGCTGGTTGACAAGAAGATGGCAATGTCAAACCTGTGGAATGTTGTGGCTGCTGAAGTCTTCAGACAAATGAATTTTAAATTTGAAGCCACATCTGAAAAACAATTTTTTTAATATTTTTTTTTTCAACAAATATAGTCTTACTATGATTTACACGTAAAGCTACTGATAAAGCTGTTCTTGTAAAGTTGAACTTTTAGCTTGTGTAACTGTACTTTGGCATTTTAGATTATAGTGTTGTATGTTTTCTCCTGCCCCTCCAACCCTTCTCTTTCTCTTTCATTTCATTTCTCTCCCCTTAGATGCCCTCCCCGTTTTCCCTTTTCACTCAATGCAGAGGAAGATGGCTGAACACTGAGGCTGCATCTGTTTTGTCTTTTAGGTCAAAATTTCTTCTTTTCTTAGGTCCAGCCAAGGTTAATGGTCATGAAGAAAAACATGGTCTTCAATTGACACCTTAGATTTCTTTGAATTGTCAAGGGCAAACATTAATGTATCCATGAATTGGGTTATGACTAAATGGCTGAAGCTTTACTTTGATATGCAGTTCTGACTGTGTACTAGCCCAAATAACGCAGAATTACAAATATTACTTGTCTCGTCATCACAACATCACATAAGATTATATTTAACCTCAACATGTTGTTTAGGTCATGCTACATTCAGGGCTGCCTTCATTTACTTTATATTTATGGGTCACTGTTCCACATCAATGGTCTGGAACAGTGCTGATGCTGAGACCCCACTTACGCCCCACAAATCAATAATCCCTGAATCAGTTGTAAATATTGGATGCTGTCTTTGACCTAAACCGAGTTTTACTTCAGTCAGCTTTCCATTTCATTATTTTAAACAAATAGGGAAGTATTTGTAAGGTTAAGAACTGCTGAGATGATCAAAAGTAGTATTGTAATACATGGGTGTGTAGTTTGACAATGCTAATATTAGGTCATTTAGCTAAGCCAGCTTTTTTAGGTCAGTCATGTCTTCTTGGGCTTCTGTTACACAATCGTATCCCTACAGTACCTGACTTGAACATCAGACACCAGTGTGAAATTAGAAATAGAGAGCAAAAACGATTCATGACACAAACTTTATTTAAGAGTGAAGAGAAATATAGATTTAATTATTAGGACCAAAAAGCCGTGCTCCAAGGAATTACATGTTGCTTTAAACTTTTTTTTAAAAATCAATAAATAAATACAAATATTTCTAGTGAAGGTATAAACATTGATGTGTTCTCTCCAGTATGTAGCTTTAGAACAAGTTCTGTTTTTTTATTTTTTTTTATTTATTAAGATGACCTGTAAAATAGTCCTGACTGACAGACTCGGTCAGACCTGTAAAACAACCTCCTGCTCCCAGAGGGTGTCACTTGTGTCTGTTCCAGGCTCCTACTGTAACACCCAGAAGAACTTGAAATAATTTAACTGGGGCAATCCAAAACAACTCATGATTTAAAGCCACCAATGTTTCTGTGGCAACTAACCCTGTCTTTCACCGTTCATTTAAGCCTTGGTTTTGTATTGCCAAGAAGAGAATACCTCGGCTGCAATTATTTACATGTGCTCTATATACTAATTTTAGCAATTGTGTAAGCCCACCAGTCATATTTTCATGCAACCGGACCACCCCATATTTTATATCCGTCATATCAGCACTGTTACTCTGAAAGCTGGTGTCGTCGTCGGTTCAATGAACCTGAATAACCCAACACCATGGTATGCACTATCCAGCAGTTTAATGTTTATATGCTTTCTTTTGTTTGTGGTGCCCTCTATTGGGAAAATATATACTTACAACTCTTAAAGCTTTGCCAAACCAAAAAATAAAAATAAAATACAAGTCTGCCACATCTAACGAACTATATAAAAACAATAGTGTCTGCCTTAAAAATGAAAAGTATATAATTTTACATAACTTTAACGTTAAGACTGCAACACGCTAATACTGAACAGCAGTCTGTGAGGCAATGTTTTTTATTCAGGCAGTTTAATGACGCCTTTTGATGACGTCAAGGTCTTTAGGGCCCCTAAGATGGCCATGCTGGCAGAACGTATGAAAATTTCATTCTTTATTTTTGTGGTTAATTTACCATGCTGTTTGTGTTAATTAATTTTCAGTTGTTGAGCTGTGTTCGATTGTCGAGCGCTTTGTCGTGTTATATAACTTTTGCTGGGTTTAATTTGCATTATGTGGTTGTTAACAACGGCTACTTAACGTTAGCATTAGCGACAGACCGGAGGACACACGTGTTTTGTTTTCTCTTTAATTAGTGTTATAACATGCATATTGTTGTTTGTTGATCTGAAATGTTGTTGAAATGGTGTTTTATCTGGCTGTGTGTTTTTTGATTGTTTGTTTTTTATCTGCATTGTTATTTCAAAGAGATTTGGGTTATTTGTGGAAATGTTTGTGCGTAACTGTCAAACTGTTTGGTATTGACACTGGACTCATGAAGATTAGTTAGTTGACCACATTGTTAAACAACACTTAACATAATGTAGAAGTTGTTTTGTACACTTGTACACTTTATTAATACAATCTCACTGACTTTCAGCCCGCAGAAAACAAAAATGGTCTGTTGACCCAAGAAACAGTGCCTGGAGTAATGATGACTCCAGGTTTGGTCAGAAGATGCTGGAGCGAATGGGTTGGTCGAAAGGCAAGGTAAAGAGCTTCATCGTTCTTATTCACATATAGACAAACTGCAGTATATTGAACACGGTGTCATGATGCATGTGTTGCCCTCCTCCCCACAAAATATCAAGGGCTTGGGCAGGAGTGAGCAGGGAGCAACTGACCACGTCAAAGTAAGGGTGAAAAATGACAGCTATGGTCTCGGAGCAAATGCTAGCTATGAGGTGAGCACATTTACTATTCTTATTCAACACTGTTTAACACTAGTGATGCATGGAAACATTTTATGATTTTATTGAAATATTATTTATTTATATCTCTGTTCTGTCATTTACCTCAAATGTTTCCTCACTGAGTTTTTTTAATACTGTTAATAAAGATGTTTTTGTTGTTTCAAAATTTCCATTTATTTCCATACTTCACATCATTGGCTGCCAAATATAAATTTGTGTAAATGTAAATATGTCCATTTCATTTAGCTACAAATGAAAACAGAAGATATTTTTCAGAAATTAGCCTTCAAATTAAAATTATTTTGATTCAATCAAATTTTTAAATTGTTCAGTAACTTCAAGACAAAATGTGTTTAGAACTGTCAGTTATGATGTCATAAAACATTTTCTGTGGTTATAGGACAACTGGATTGCCCACCAAGACGACTTCAATGAGCTTCTTGCTCAGTTGAACAACTGTCATGGACAAAACAACAGCAGTAGCAGTGGTCTGTATACAACATTTGACTACTGAGTACTGTCACAGTTTTTATTTCCGACTCTATAAAAGATATTAATGTCTTAACTCTAAAAATTAAAAGTTTTGTGCAGAGGCATCAATGTATTTTCTACGTGGCATTGACATGGTACCAAGATATCGGCTCTTGTTAAACTAAATTGTATTAATCAGTTGTAATTTCCTTTCTCGCTCTGCTTAAGTCCTCTCTGTTAATTGTATGCGTTGAACACTAGAGGGTGCCATAGTGTAACTGATGAAAAAACATGCTCAGTGCATCTCAGTGGCAACCTGGCAGTTGGTGGATTCGAACCTGGGGCCTTCCGGACCGAAGTCCGCTTCCTTTACCACTAGGCCACCACCGCCACTTTCCAGTGGACCCTACGTGTACACCAGATGGGATGAATGTGTTAAAACAAAGTGGCTTTTATTTTATTTATTTATTTTTTTTATAGATCCCGTACCAGATGAACAGAAAGGGTTCAGCTTGGAGGCAAAATCAAAGACCTCTAAGAAGAGGGTCCACTACATGAAGTTCACTAAAGGTAGGTTTTTTTTTTTGTTTGTTTGTTTTTTTGTGAAAGGTAATCAAGGGCCAAACAACTGGCTTCAAATCAGCTTTGAGATACATCAGTGTTAACATGTTTCTGTAGTTTTTCTGGGCTGAACTGATGATCTGAAGAGTTGCAACACTGAAAGTGAACATTAATTGTAATTGGTCTAAATTTTGTAACACATTTCTTTAAAATCACTGTTATAGGTATGCAATTTTTTCTGTACTTTTCCCCCAGTCTGTCTAGGAGTTTATTGCATTTCAGGCTTAAATTTGGTTACATGGAAAGTTTAATTGAAATAGTTTGTGACAAGTTGTGTAGACTTTTATAGATATGGGGAAAATGCATTACATTACAAAATAAATGTCATGTTTTGTTTGTTTTTTGGATATTGCACACATTTACACCTGCATCATGTTCACATAAACAGAGCATCGTCCTCCACTCCATGATCCGTCTGCTCTTGGCTCGAACCACAGATGCTGGTCAGAGTTCTGTCAGCCTGTACCGGGGTCATTTGACCCAGTCAGCGAAGGGGAGTTTATTAATAACTCCTTCCTTCTACTTTTATTACTCCTTGACACGTCAGGAAGTTGAGATTTGCTGGTCAAGGTCAGTTCACCGATAGGCACGAGGAGGAATTTGGCGTTCAAGACCACTGGAGAGCAAAATGAATAACTGCTGGCCCATGATTAAATAAGTTATATTTGATTAGGAATATTAGCTTATTTTTTAAACATAACATCAAACACATGTTAAATTGGATTCTTGTTTTTATTTCTGCAGGTTCTAAACACTTATCCCAGGTCATCAGAAATGAGGAAAACACTAAATCTTAAACGTTTGCCTCACCTGGAAGAGCTGCTTATGTCCTACGTCATTCAATAGCAGCTTCCTGTTTCCTGTTTGGGGCATCTGGCATGTCCATTTACTGTCCATTAACCCAAAAACAACAGCTCCAAAGGCTGCACAACCCATTAGATGACCCTGTGAGATCACGTTTCTAGGACGTCTCACCCTATTTTTGCAATCTTTGTTCAGCAAAATTTGAGAATGTGTGTTGCTACTGCGAGACATGCGTCTTAAAGTATACCAATATGATATGAAACATCATAGTACTTGGTGCCAGTCATCACCTGGCACTAGTACTGGAATATCAGTTGATTGGATGAGAGATTTACTGCTTTACTCACACCAGACATCAGGATCAATCTCTCTGAAAATCACACCACGCTCTAGAATATTGGTCAAATGTCCAACAAGTCCCTGTTTACCACTATGGACTGAATGCCCACTCTCATGTTTTGCATTTTATCAACATTGTCATATTTGTTGTTGTCGTCATATTTACAAGTAAAAGTCTAAAGTTTCAGGCTTGAAGAACTTATGTAAAGACCAACTGTGCTGGTAGAACCAGACCTGGTTTTAGTGTCATTATTGAAATTTGATCCACACACTGGACTGTTCTCTTCAGCTGTGTTTGGTAATTTAACACTAAGAAACTACAACCGTTGTTAAGCACGAGTGTAGATGCTGCCACCACTTGGTTTTCTGTAAATAAGTTCATGCATGAACCTAAAATAGTTTAATAGTTAAAAAAACAAACAAACAAAAACAGGATCTATTGGGAATAATCTACCCATGTACTAGTCATGAACAGATCAGCCTAAAAAAAAACCCACTACAGTTGTTACTTTTTTTTCTTTTTGGTAATTCTTACTTTCAGAATGTCTCACTGACGTTGGGGTCTAGAAAGCATTTCCCAGTTTTACCTGGCAACAAGTATCCTGCCCCACCTGTTTGCATGGTTGACCCGTCGGCTCCAGAGCCAGCTCTCCTCCCTGTGAAGCTGTTGCCAAGTTGAGCGTTGGTAAAAGATTTAGTGTTGCTAAGCCAGTTGCATGACAGATTTAAAGTCTGTAATGCACACTCGGATCCAAGTGTGCAAAGTAGACCCAGCATGTGACAGGCTGGACTGTTTTAGATTTAAATCAAAAGTATTAACTTTAAATGTGCTTCATCATTTGATGTCACTCCATATTTAAGCTCCAGAAAATCCTGCTACAATAAACACATTGATATGGTGCTCAGTATGGGCCTCTGCCTCACTTTATCATTTTTTTCCCGACTTATTGATATCTAGTAATGCTGGCTCCCTGATTGCCAGCACTCACGATTGATGACCTTTGTTTGTGTGGAAAGGCACCAAACTCTCTGCTGCTGAGGTCCAGGGGCCTAAAACATGAGGCAGTAACCCAGTTTTAATTGCCGCCTCCATCCATCACCTGTCAACGCAGGGAAGGTGGGTTTAACCACAGCCGTATCTGCTGAAGGCTGCCATCGTTTTGCTGTGGATTTGGTCCTTACATTCAGACAGACTTTTTAACCTCAAGTCGCAGCATATCTTGCAAGAGGTGTGGAGCGAGGTCCTGTGTTTTGTTTAATATTAAGATCTTTGGTTTAAAGGCTACACTGTAAAATTGTGTGGGTTTTTTTTGTTCTGTTGGAGTCTTGGTTGTCTTTAGTCTTGTTTGACTTTGCTGACAGTTGTTGCCATTTCAACCGTGGCTGTGGAAACCAGCATGTTTTCAACAACGCTAAGCAGAAACCCTATCACCACCCTCCTGTGTAATGGCATTCAGCCATCTTTTTAACCTTCCAGGGAGAAGCGGGGTTGTACTCCTTCTATAGGACAAACATCGTCTAAGGTCCTGAAAGATTTTGACAGGTACTTCCTGGTCCAAACAGCAGAAAGGTCAACTTGGGCATAATTTTATTCCTGACCTTAGCACACCAGATGACAAGCACAGCAGGGCTCTCCCTCTCCTCATTTATTTAACTTTTCAGCATGCTTTCTTGGTATTTCTTTTCAGACATGCATCTGTAGTGACTTTCAAAGCTGAGATTAGTGGAGATAGAGCTTTAAAAGCAATAAATAACCAAATGTTATCAGAGTCCTGGTGAAGGAAGAGGATGCAGCTGTAGGAACAGGACCTCGGCTTGAGACAGGCGACTGTGCTCCACGATTCTTTGAGGCCTGGGCTTGAAAATGAGAATCTGTAGGCGTGACGTGACAGACCTTGGCGTTGGTTTATTTTTCTTTACTGTTTTATCCCAGGAGCAAACCATGTAAACCTTCCTTTCTAAACTTGTAGGGAACTTCAGACCTCATATTCACGTGCAGTAATGGTAATAATTGCATGTGAACTCTGTGTGGTTTGGCCAGTGGGCTCCTTCAAACTGAAAAAATGCAACCTCATATTGGCCTCATGTCTCTTTTAAAATGGACACCATTATTATTTTGATGTATTATTTTTACTTTGCTCTTTTATTAATTAATTTCATTTGTCATAGATTCTCATATTCACAAATCAATTTATTTGTTTGTCCCCCCCACAACTTTTAGGCAAAGACTTGTCCAGCCGCAGTGAGACAGACCTCAACTGTATCTTTGGGAAAAGATCAAGGCCATCTAAAGAACCAGAGCAGGTAAGAGGAGTGAAGACCCCTCATATTCTCCATAAACCGAGGTTATAATAAAACTTCAACTTGCAGTTAGTCTTGAGCTTTAAACTCTTTTGGTCCATGTTACTTTCACCTAAAATAACAGAAGGTCATCAGATGCTACAGCACGTGATATTTAATGCACGTGCTGTGCTTGAATTAAAATTTCAACATCTGGTTTAAAACTCTTATCAAAAAGGCACATACCTGAAACTGTATTTGTAGTAGTACGAAAGAAAAACATTCTTTCACTTTCCTCACTACAGCTCTCACCAAAGTCCAGTCCTGGACTGTCACAGTGGACATCTTACTTTTGTCCAGATGGCTAGTGATAATCTGCCTCTGTCTTTGTAATTGAGAACGGCCGCTCGTGCCGATCTCTTAACCAGTGGCTGCTGCATCATGTCATATGTCTGCTCCTGCAGCTTCCTGTGCAGCTCTGGGCCTTAGATAAGTCATGTCACAGAGTCCAGCATTAACTCGGCTACCTGGCCCCTGGTGGTGGCATCAACAGCTAAATCCAATTAAAGGATTTGCGCTTCTGCACCTCAGCTTTCTCTCCCACATACACTCACACACTCCTGCTTCTCTGCTTCTGTCTTGCGGCACTTGCGTGCCAACAGGCATTATTAAAGGCAAATCAAAATTTTAGCGAGGTGTGCAGAAGTCTGATGATGACGATGATGCTTGCAAAAAGCTTGACTCTTGCTTGTTGCTCAGTTCAAAAAGCGACTTTGCCATTTGCTGTTATGCTGACCTTTTAATGCTTTGGGGATGGGGGCACAGGCCAAAAGCTAAAATGGGAGGAAACTGTTTTTAGGGTTCAAGAGAAACCTACCTACATCAAATTCAAATTGCACTAAAAGAAAACTTTAGGCTATTCAAATATTCTCTGATTCTCAATTTTTTTCACGTTCAATTGGCTTTAGTGTGACCTAGAGCCCACAAGTGCATCTCCCCTGGTTCTGAGGTAGTCCTACCAATAATTAGGTAGCATTGAGCTGCCACTGCTCTTATTGTATGTAGTGAAAAACTGCATCTTGCATGAAAATGACATTGAAATGATGTTTGTAAGGAATTGGTTACACTAGAGTAAAAAAGGGCATAAAAATGACACAAATAAAACCATTGACAAAATCTGTCTTTTAGTCATTACGGAGAAATGTTGGTAAAAAGGAAAAATGGATGGCAGGCCACGGCCAATTATAAATGCAGCTTTAAACTAAGAGACATTCTCCTGTCTACTGAAATTCTTCTGTTTATCTCCAACATTTGGCTGTAAAGAAATTGGCATCTTAAAAATCCATAAAATATACAAGGAAAAGCCCTTCTTCATTTCCCTGCAGATGCTGAGCAGTGGCATCACAATGGCTGCTGCTTCCCAGCTGATTAACATTGGAAACGCAGGCTATGCACACCATCATTTTCTTCCTAATCGTTTGGTTATGGGTTGTTATTTTTCAGCCAGGAGGGACACCATTGACCATATCGAAAACACTCAACACAATTACAATGGCTTCCCATGAGGCCTTGTGTTGAAGCCCAGTAACATCTGAGGTTGCTGGGAAGAGGTAAATGGGGTGATGGACCAATCAAGCTTCAGACATTGTGCAGGGACGTGTGTGTGTGTGTGTGTGTGCTGTCACCTGCTCAAACTGATCTGTGTTTACAGTTGTCTAACATCATGTGCCGTAGCAAAGGTGTTTATTTATTTATTTTAAGTTGTTTGAGTTCAAGATGTGCGATTTTAAAATCCTCACTGCTTTTTATCCTCTCAAAAACTGAGGCTAAATTAAAAAAATATTATTGTTATATTATTAACTTGACCACAGTCCCTAAACAAAGCTTAATTTGTGACCAAAAATGACAGATGTTGCTTCTGCTTTTACGTTTTCTAGTGTGACATTTTAAAGTAGGGGGAAACACAAGTTAAAATTCCTACTGCTCTATTCCCCTCCCCCTTCCTCCCCTCTCCACATCCTTGTCTGAGTGTTACTTAGAATGCAGTTTACTTTAGATCTAAGTCATTTCATGTAGATGATTTTTTTTGAATGTAGAACAAACTTGGAGGGAAATCGTTTTCGTGGGTCTAGCCGAAATCAACTTCTTAAGAGCTAGCCCTGACCGCATCCATCACTAATCCCATGAATGTTCCATCACTTCACCAACCTCCCACTGTTCCTCCCAACTCCCCCATTCCATACACATGCCCCCCCACCTCTATTGCTGGGGTTTTCCTTCCTCTGCACTGATGTGCTTCCTGTTCGCGTCTTATCGCTGCTCACAACGCTCCCTGAAATGTGTGCGTACACACATGCGCGCACACACACAAACAAATACATGCACACACACTCAGCAGTCCCACATTCATCTGTTCATCAAAGGAGCTGGATGTGTTGAAAAGAATGTATGGGGCAGACCCCTGGACCCCCCATTTGTGATTGGATATATTTAGGTTACTAAGTGTGTTAAAATGTAACAAAGCTAGGTTGAGTTAAAACCTGTACTTGTTTTTTTTTGTGATCATTTGAAACAGAATTGAACACATATTCCATATGAATTACAATGTTATTTTTGCTGGACATCTTTTATTTCTTATCGTTTAAGGATTTATTTAAAAAAATCATAATCATATTGTTGGGGTGATGCTCTTATATACTTTGTTGGATCAGATTTAATTTGCATAACACTAAATGTTAAGTCAACACAAAGTCAAGGTTAAGGTGCTGCAGAATAGAGCTATTCTTCGCAAGTGTGTTAAAGTACGTAGTATTTGCTGAAATTCCTGTTGGCAAAATCTTCAGAAGACTGTTCTAGGTTGTTTTGTTGGAACTTGTGAAACTTTGTACATTAGAATGGTCTATATTTAAATTTAGAAAGCGGCTGTTGTAAGGTCAGGTCACTCTAAGTCATTGAAATGTGTCTAGGAGTAAGAGACAGAGTGAAGCCTTGAGCTCTTCCTTTATGGGCCTTTAATGTAGCAAACTCTCTGAAGGGTGTGGACGCGTGAGAATAAAAGGACATTAAGACCAAAGTACAGTGACTGCTGCTGTCCACTCCCTGAACATTTTTCTTTTTATGTCTTTTCAAAACAAAGAGCTTCCTGAAAAATCATTGGACAGAAATAAATGTGTTATGAGCTGACATGTTTTTGTTTTTTCAGGTTATGTTTCATTAGTGACGATGAATGGATGCTTTACGTTATTATCAAGTTGATTTAATGCTGAGCACCAAACCCATTCACCTAAAATTAGTTAGGTTAAGACCGTTATTTACTCCCGCAGCCCGGTGAGGGTTATCAAGACGTTGTGAAACACCTGTCCATCTACGCAAGTCTCTGTGATCCATCACCGATCCTGCACTGGTGAACCCCCTCCTCCTACTGCCTCCCCTTGTGCCCCTCAGCACAATTACTCACAGCATGACAAACGACGGGCTCTCTATGCCGAGATATCAAAAAGCCCTGGCCACTTCTAAATGAAGGCACTTTGGCAGCCCTGTGCTCCCAGTGCTTATCGCCGTCCTGAGTTCCCCCATTTCTTCCCCCTCTTCCTCCGCCACCACCTCCGGCTTTCTGTGCCCTCCTCAAGGGGTTTAGTTAGGGGAGCCACATGGAGGGCCAGCCCAGCTTGATTTATCTCCCTTGCCCCTCTTCCCGGCCACTCAGGCAGGCCGAAAGAGCCGACGAGGCTCCAACGGGCCTCAGCTCGAAAGCCTGGCATTAGCTGAAATAAACCATTCTGCCGCCCAGTGAAAAATGTCCTCTGATTGGCTAATTAATCAGTCAAAGGGGAGCGACGAGGCTTGTGACTTGAGGGACCCAAGCGGGCGACCGCAGAGGGCCTGCTGATAAATAGACTCCCCGCCGATTCATACATCAACAAAAGTTAGTCATTTTTTAAAGCCGCCAGCTCACATGAAAGGTGGAAACAAGCCATAGTTTTATTTTTCAACTGGCCTCTCCCTGTTCTGTCTTTTATTTTAGTGAGTTGTAGAAGACAATTTTCTGGAAGACAAATTTTTTCTCCTCCGTTTTTTTTTTTTGTACAATTAGAAACCAACACCAACCTAATAGTATAATTAAAAAAAATACAATTGAATAGATTTTCAAGTGACTATAATTTTTTTTTCTGTAATAATTTTGGAAGAGCATGAATTGTTTCTCCTTTATTAAGGAAACAATTTAATGCCTGAACAGTGTCTGGCTATTTTATTTTATATTAAAATGAACATTGATTTAATTCTGACAGTGATGAAATATAGGCGTGTATAAATCTCTGATGGGAGACTTGTTTTGGCGTCTCCAACCTTCCAGTCAGACGGTCTGTACAGCCTCCTTTCGGGTCAGTCTGACTCCTGTAGCCTCTCTCACTCCCACTCTGCTCAGGCACAAAGGGCCAAGGAAGAAACCTCTTCGGGTGGCACCTGTTGCAATTTTTTTCTGCCCACGCATCGTCCAAATGAAGGATAGCATGTCAGTGGGGACTCCCAGGATACTACCATCTTACAGAAGATGGGGCAACAAGAGCTGGGGCCCTTTGCGTTGGGCAGATGTGCCTGCAGAGCGTTGCCAAATGCTTTACTAAGAGCAGCAACAAATACAGAAATCATGATTAATTTTCTCTAACGTATTTTATCTCACGTTTTGTGTGGGATTTATTGGCAGATCCTTACACCGGTCCCTCCTAGACATGCCAACTCGCTGACACTTACAGATTAGTGCAGGACAAAAAAATGAATAAAATGCGTCCGTCTCTTAGTTACGGGCTTAAGCGGAAATACACGGGGCCAGAGCAATTACCGCCTGCTGAAGCTAACTGCCCAAAGATTTTCTAGCCCTCTTGGCTGTTTATTGCCACCGACTACCGTTTAATCACTGACTCTTTAATCTAATAAATCACAGCAGGGGAAAATAATAACCGTATCTTCCCAATGTGGGGTTAGGGTCGGGGGGGGGACCCCTGTGATCTTGAGGAGGGCTTTGTCAGTAAGTGTTTGTGGTGTGAACAAGCACAGGTAGTCGTTCTGCATGCATAATGCGCTCTTCATTTGTTACTTATGATAAACGCTCTTGCACCGGGAACAACCTGCGATTTTTCAAAAGCTTTTTTTTTTTGTTTTTGTGTTAACTGCACAAAGAAATTATTCCTTTAGTGAATATATCACTTCATAGAATCTTCCATGTGTGGCATTTAGTGTACTAACAGTATGTGCCTTCATTTGTTTTAACTTAGTTTCTTTGTCTGCACTACTCCACAGAAAAGGGAAATAAATACCAGCATGGTTTGGATTGCAGGGATGTTTTTTATGGATCGTCATGTGGATCTCTGCGTATTTACTAATTTACTAGTGAAAAGCGTATTCACCTGTTTTTTTCCCCGCTGTCCGCCTACATCAGGCCCATGAAAGATGGGCTGCTGGATCTGTGTGTGCTCATCAGGGGGAGACAGCTGGCTAATCAGGGCCTGATCCATAGACCTCGAGAATCGCCAAATTTATTATTGTGGCAGGACAATGAGGGCACACTTGTGCAATTACAGACCCGACCAATATTAGGAAGTATTTATTGGAGAAGAAAACACACACACACACAGAAGTAATGCAAACAGGCAGTTTTTTAGAAAATAAATGAGCTTCTGCAAATCTGTCAACAGTTAATTACTGTGTGGGCAAAAATGTTTGTTTTTTATATACCTTGCAACGCTAATTAGTTGTACATAACTCTTCATTTTCACTTTTAATTAACTTACTTTAGCAAATATAATATATGTGTAAACACTGACTATTATGAAGTCCAGCCCATTCTTATTTTCACCCGCTTTATTTTAAAGGCGTTTCAGGTGTCAAGGCATGTGCTGTGTACATGTCCAGCTGTGTATTTACACTGCGACTGGTTCTTCAACCTAATCAGTTCAAATCACCTTTACATTCTACTAAATTGTCTTTATTATTACAGGGTATTTTTACTACTGTTTACACATCTCACCCTTGGATAATAGAGAGAAGACCATAAACCATGCTACAGCAATAAAGGCTTCAAAAGAAAATGTTTTCTACAGTGAGATATGAATTAGATGTCTGGTGGTGACAGCATCTGTTTGTCTGAGAGAATATAGAATAGTTGTGCCTCAGTTCTGAGTAGGATGTATTACCTATTAAAAGTAATATTTCATCATCTGCAAGCTTTTTTTTTTGCATTTTAATTCTATTAAAAGAGGAGTCAAGATGAGCTCTCCTTAGTTAATGGAGCTAAGCTTAGAAAGAAGTTATGTGAATGTTAATTAAAAAAAGGTTTTATTTCACTGAACAGTCATCCTCCCCGCTGACTTGTTTGACTCCTGTGTTTTGGCCTTGTCTGTTTGGCACCTTGGCACACGTCTTTCCATTGGCTAGTCGCACATAGGGAGATGGAACTGGAGCGTCTTGAAGGAGGCAGCCTGTTGAATGTCTTCCCACCCTTTTTTTTTTTTCTGGGACCCTAAGTGGGCCCTCCCCATGTCCTACGCTCAGCCCCAGCCCCCGCCAGGGGTTGAGCAGAGAGCAGGAAGGGCCCGATAGCCAGTGAGCCTGTGTCTCTGCAGAAGGAGCCTTATCTCAGACCTGCACACAGCGCACTGAGCGCATCCCTTTCCTGGGGTTCTAGGTCTGGGAGGGAGAGGGGGAGGAGGAGGAGAGAAGGAGTAAACACAGTTGGTTAAAGGTGTGTTCTTCAACCCTCAACTCATGAACCTCACGGTGTCCTCTTCAGGGACCACCTTTGTTAGTAATTCAGTTGCATTTTAAATTTGAACACATTACATTAATTAATTATATTAATTAAAACATTAAAATTTGCATTTTAAGCTGTAGCTTTAAAAAACAAAAACTGGAACGTATTACAGTTAGAACTTAAACCAAAATTTTTGTAGAGAATCTTGAACTTTTAAGTGTATTCTACTCTTTAGCTACGCTTCTTTTATTGTATAAATTGTAAAAACAAATGTCTCTGAAATGTTTAAACAATTGTGATGTAGTTTGTGTTGATCCCTAGTGGAGGTTTTAATTTTGACTTTTAATTTTCTTTCTTTTCTTTCTATCCTTATGCTTTAATTTGACGAACTATTATGTACTGAAGGTGGCGTTCTTATTTGGTGCGTGAGGTTTTAAGATTTTTTTTTCTGAAATCCATTAATCATTTGTTATTGATGCTTTTTCATAAAACAGTGGAAATTCCACATCATTTATACCTGCAGTGAGGAAGACAGGGTAGAAGCACAAGACGCACTGAAATGGGGACTAAAAATCGGAGCCATAGCTGCTGACTTGTTTCATAGTGACACATTATCCTCACTATCAAAAATCTCCAGGGCTGTGATTCATACTGATGGTGTAGTTTTATATCCAGACTGTGTGCACGTCCAGCAAACACTTTCTCTTCACCGTGTCAGAGTCTAATGAGAATCCAGCAGCAGGGAGGACGAGACACAGACCAACTTCCAGCCACTTTCCCCTGATGAAGATGTTTCTCACTCACTCTCTTCTCTTTACTCTGCTACTCCCTCTCTTGAGAGTAATTTTACAGGTAGTGGTCGCCAGTCCTAGTTACATGTTGTTTGGTTTGGTCAGCTCAAAGCCCCTCTCCCACTTTTCCCAGACAGAGAGAGGATACCATTGTGCAGTAACAGGAGTATAGATTTTTCTCTGGGATGTTGTAGAGTTTTGTTTAATGGCTCTTCAACTGAGGGGCCCAGTCCTGCTTGTTAGAGGTTGGGCTTTTTATAAAGCAAGCTTAACTGGCTGCTGTCACGTACTTCCCACTTCTACAGTTTGTCATCTTGTTTCATCTGCAGCAGCTAAAATCAGGATCTATGCTTCAGATTTCCTTTTTCCTCCCTATAATCGATATAGAGACCCTCAAACAATGGTTGTTTTTCTTATGGTAATATTATTGACTCCTAGTGGGTTAAGACAAATGACCTCCGTAAAGTTAAGAGATTCCCTGGTGACTGTGTTTTTCAAAGAAACTACATTTTTCACTGGCAAAAAAAAATTATTAGCCCAAATAGCGTAGAATATTCAAATCCTTGGAGAAAGAACAAAGGATCTGTGTTTACATCTGTGCTGGTCCCTGAACGGTGCTTCAGAAGTACACCACCAACCATCAGTTAGAAGCTCTCTCTCAATCAGTGCCAACGTTCTAAGCACTGGAATCTACATGTAAAAGTTTAAAGGCCAAACTGTGGGGTGACTAAACGCGACTCTTTTTCAATTTATCGCATCTGCGGGGTTTGAAAAATGCCCAACACTTGGCCATCTCTGAGCCAATGCAGGGAGCAACGCATTGTTTAGTGTGATCCTCTGGAGGAGCCTCTGTATTCTTCTGGACAAATCATTATGCATTGAGTAGGCCATTAGGAAAATGAAGACGAATGGGTCGCAGGGGCGACGTGACAAATTGTTCACGCTGTAGAGTTAAAATTTGGACCATGTTGTCTTTATCACACTGTGAATGTTGGCCTTGAAGAGACCGGTCGGACTAAAGCAGAGTTAATGCTCTGTTTACATATGTAAATGTGTGTCCGAAAATGTCACTGAACACACGCTCCCATGTACGCCTTATGTTTGACACAGTTGTTAAGTAATACATTCACTAGGGACTGTGCTGCGTTCAGGGCTCAATTCAAGGCCCACGTCTGTGACAATAAAAAAATATGGCGGCAATGGAAGAGGTTATGATGTTTCTGCACAGAAAGAGGTCCAGACAGGCAGCGCAGGAGACGGTTGTGGTCTGTAGTAACAGCATGTGGATAGAGAGTTCTTCTCCCTGGTTGCAAGTAACAATTTAGTAAGAGTTTCTTAAGTGATTCATTTTTATTTATTTTTTTATTAAATGGATTTTGTCAACCAAACATGTCAATTGTTGTTGATAATAATTACACACATTATTATTATTATTATTTATAGTTTATAGCTTTACTTTTGAGGAGCCAGTACAAAAACACACAGTTGACACACAGCTGCATGTTGTGACAAATCTTTGCTGCTTATTTTAAGGTAATCCTTTTAACACCCATTGTATCGACATCCTTTTTCTATTTTCTATCACTGACACCAGCCTGGTCATTCTCCTCCTGTTGACTGACAGCTACTTGAGCTTCTCGTGGATTCATTGTGTGCTGTTTATTTTTGTGCGGATCCACTCAATGCTGCATTATGGTCTCAACTTCACGTTGTCCTTTTTTGTTTCTTTTATTGGTTTAGGAGAGCAACAGCAGTGATTCTCAGGGTGAGACAGAGGAACCTTCGACTTCCGCCACAGCTGAATTGGACACAGAATCCATCACTAAGACAGTGACCAGTACTCTCAGTATGCAGGAGTATTTTGCTCAGCGAATGGCTCAGCTGAAGAAGGCTCGGGGACAGACAGAGGCAGAGACCAGTGAGACATTTGAGCCGTTCGAAGAGCTCAGTGTGGTTCACGCCAATGTTGAGAATACAGATGAGCCCAAAAAGAGAAAGAAGAAAAAGAAACGAGCCACAGAAGAGCCAGAAGTGAACAGGGACGCCTGCAGTAGTCCGACGGTCGTAGAAGAGAATGTGAACCCGGACGAGAAACGTTCTAAGAAGAAAAAGAAGAGAAAATCAGAAAAGGCTGCAGATGGAACCTCCAGCTTCACGTGTGATGTGGAGCTGAACTGCGAGGAGCTTCCTCCTCCTCCTCCACCCAAAAAGAAAAAGCAAAAGAAGCACAATACAGAAACTGAGATGGAAAAAGGACACAATTCATCTGAAGATCAAATCGCAGTCATAGAGGTTGAACAGAAAAAAACAAAGAAACACAAAGAAGATGCGAGCAGCGGTGAGGAGGTGGTGAAGAAATCCAAAAAGAACAAGAAGAAGAAGAAGAAACATCAAAACTAGGATGGAGTCGAGGATTGGAACAGATCCTTCAGTCTTAACTGAGATTTTTTAATTGTGCAGCGTTGACTTTACTATCCTATAATAAGATGAATCAGTTCTATAAAGACACTTCTACAAACTGATGTTTAACATTCAGTCAAGTTAAGCCTCAGGCTGTATGGATGGACATTTAGATCAGATTAGTGATTAGCTCCCTGTTTATGGCAAAATCGAGTTGAGCATTTGGGCTTAGTTTTGGATAAAAAGGCAGCCTAGTGTTCATGCTGTATATGATGCCTCATGTATCTATCTGTCATCAGTGTTTCTGATTTTTTTTCCCTTCAATGTAGACCATTAATTCTCCCGACATTTGTCAAAAATTGAGGGCTCTCTATGATTCCAGCATTGATCAACAGTTGAGTCACGATCAACTTTTTATTCCTCAAACGTTAGATTTGGTTGGAATTAAATCAGAGATCATCTGAACAAATCCCCCACCCCGCTGGTCTGTCTTTTTTAGAAAACCATTTGACTTGTCCGCCTCCTCACCAAAACTAAAGAAAACCTCGTTCATCACCCTCAGTTTCGCTTTACGTAAAGTGTAAAACCCCAGCGATCAGACAAAGGTTGTCTTTACAACACATCATTTCAACCCTGACAATAAATTTGACGTGACAACTCTGGGCTGGTTGGACTCGTTTGGCTGTGGTGGTGGGTAGAACGAGTCAAAGAGTTTTTGCACAACAGCTCACATGGAATTTTCAGTTTGGAAAAAGTGGCGTGATGACATGGGTTCATTTTTCATCGGGTGAAGAACACACAACCTGACTATTACTACAATCACCTGAGGTGGAGGGTTGTATTTATGCTCCATGTGCTGTCACTAATTACATGGGTTAAAAGTGTGAGAGCTTGTCAGTCATGAAGGGTGAAAAATCACTTGTGTTTTTTCCCCTCCTTGTCAGGTGTGAACATGTGTGATGCTTCGTGTATTTGTAAAGTTTTAACAGTTGGTTCTCAGTAGCAGCACCATACAGCGATACGTGTCTGGATTTACCTCAATCTGTGCAAAGATGAAACTTCCCACCCTCTACTTACACTAGCTATTTTTTTATTAAATAAAAAAACATTCTTTAAAACATCATTGATTTATTTTGTTTTTTGAATTATGTCACTTTTACATCTTGGTAATTGTCTGTGACTGTCCGGCTTGGTTCTATTTAGAATTGCCTTCTCTGGGAGTGGCCAGAGGTAAAGTCCTTGAAGAGAATGAGTGGGATGGATCTGTTAGAATACAGTTAGGAAGGAGAATCACTGCTGTTGCAATAAAAGGAAGTTGGATTGGAGTTCCATGTCTGCTGATGGACGTTAAATTTTGTGTGAGAAAAAGTTATTTTTGCAACTTAAAAACTCAAATAATGCGTGTGGCAATTTGTTTGTGTGGGATGTCTAGGTACATATGTCTGTATGAAGAAAGGCATTGTGGGTAAGTTAAATATTTCTTTGGGATCAATGGTCAAAGATCTGTACCTCCATCCAGAGATTTATCAATTGTTTTATTTCATTTATTGTATTTAATTAGGGGGGAAAAAATCTAGACTTAATCCCTGTTTTCATATATATATATATAAAACAAATGTGTGTATGTGTATATATATATATATTTCCTTTTGAAGAATGCCCAAAATTAATTATTTCTGGGACTCTTTTTTTCCATGAGACTTTTACTAGACCTCAGTGTTGGTTTCACTATTTTAACCCGTTTCTTAATGATTATCAAATTAAGTTGAAGCAAATATTTTAAGCAAAAACGTTAAGGAACTCAACATTAATGGTTCAAGAGTATGACCTCCGTCTCTCCCTCCTGAAATCTCCAGTAGCCACATGTCTGGTCACTAAGAGGCTCAACAACAGCAGGCTGATACGGCGTCCACCCACACACACACACACACACAGTCAGGCACTCGTCATTTCAGAAACCCCCCAGTTCACATGTTGGGCTCTGAATAGTAAATACAATGTGAAACTGCCACCGTCTACCCTCCGTCACACATACTCCCGTTTTGCAAGACACACTTTCACTGCATTGCTCACCAACGTGGCCGGCGTCAGAGCCCAGCAGGAAGTGCAGCTCTATATATCACTGAGGTGACTGCTCTACGCACAATCTGTACCTACAGGTGTCGTATCCTGTTCCTGTCGGGGGGGTGAGACTTGCTTTGCAACACTTTAAGCTGACGCTTCAGTTAGATGGCTGCTGGAGGCTCCGCTGACCAGAGAATGTATAAGGCAACTTGACGCAGTGGAACAAGTGATCAGAGCCGTGTGTGTGTGTGTGTGTGTGTGTGTGTGTGTGTGGGCCTATGGGCTACCACTGCTGCAGCTTAAGACTATCCTGTCAACAGGAACTGCTGTGTTTGATGTCTACAGGAGGAAAGTGATGTGATTGTAGTGCAGTCTGTGGTTCAGTCACTGCTCTTTAACCACAGCGTGATCCAAACGCTGATCTGCTGAATCTGTTATGTTACACTGATGTAACAGGTTTGGCTCTCTGCTGAGATGACCGGTGATTTACAGTTGCTGGCAATATTACTGGTCTGAAAAGCCTATGCTTTTGCTGGTTGCTGGTCAGTGAATAAGATAACCTTTGACCTTTTGGAGGTAATCACTGCTTGGTTTTAAAGTATGCCCATTTTTGTTGTTGTGCCAGAAAACAACAACAATGACCTAGACTTCCTTTTGGTGCTTTGCCATATTTTTTTTTTTCTATCCTCACATTTACTAAGTTCTGACTTTAATGACACATCCACAAGAACTAGACAAACGCATTAGCTCACACAAGTGGTAATGCCTTGTGCAGCACCATCTTTGTTTCACGGTGAGGACGGTGTTCCTTGTGTCAGTGTTCGTCTCCTCTCCTCTTCTGCGAACATATGGAACGTCTCTGTAACCAGCAGGTTCTAATGATGTCCTGGTTATAACTGCAGTGTGTCTCACCTGTCTTCAGTCTTTCTCTGGTCTCGGTCCATTCCTGACTTCCCTTGGTTATGTCCTTTTTCATTTTCTATTTCAAACTCCCCAATGTCCTGGCAGTTTTTTCCAAAGCTTTTACTAGTTTTCTTTCAGAGATTTTCCTTTTTTTGTTTTGTTTTTTTTTTTTTATCGTGGTCGCTTTCTGTGCCATTTTGATTCATTAAGTTGAATTGATAGTTTTTGTTCAGACTCAATAACTTGTATTTATTTATATTGCTCTGTCTTTCAGTGGTATTCTAATGTGTACAGTTGGCAGTGTCATCATGACAGACTGTAGAACAGGTTGGAGATGTTGTCAGGTGAGCTGTTTATGTAACGAGGAAACAGAGATGACGTTGAAATCTCTTTGTCGACCTCAGAGATTTTGATTTTAATGAATTCACAGACATCAGATAGTGTTTCCTTGATGAACAATTCGAATCAGGCTGTGATAGGAATAAACCATGTGACCTGAGTCCGTGTGTTTGTTTGTTCTCAGTTTACCAAAGTTTGTGTTATCTTTCAAGTCCGTGAGGTGTTGCTTTGTTGTGGGGACGGTTTAAGTAGTTAGTGGTGTTGAAATCTCTCCCCCTCTCTCCCTCCCTCACTCCCCCTCAGCCTTCCTCCGCTTGTATTCAAGGAGGAGCTGAAAATCTCCGGGGTTTCTCCTGGAACCTGCTCCTCAAATAAAAAGCTCTCCCCCCGTCACCATCGAGCAGGAAAGACTGAATCACCAGGAGGAGCCGCTCGTTGCCCGGCCACATCTGTGCGCTCTGCTCCAGACTGGCACTGACATCTGGCTGCAGCCTGTAGCTCCTCTCATCCAGACTGAACCTGAGACATCACTGGTATTTATTTGAATTAGAAGTAATTAAAAATACGTTAGAAGACGCGCCTCATCTTCGATTATCCTCGCTCGGCGTTGCGCGTAATTAGAGAGAGACGCAAGTTGGAAGAGCGCTCGGTTGTCAAAGTCAAGAGTGCGCGGCGCATCTCGAGTTTTTGGCAGCGCGCAGATGGCAGCCCTCATCAGCGCCTACTCTTCGTGGCCGGAGTCCTTTGAGTGTCCCCCAGGAGACAGACAAGACGTGGCCGACATCCATGGTCCCCGCAGAAGTCCCGGGGACAAGGCGCCGGAGCCGCGCATCAGGAGACCCATGAACGCCTTCATGGTCTGGGCCAAAGATGAGCGCAAACGGCTGGCGGTGCAAAACCCGGACCTGCACAACGCCGAGCTCAGCAAAATGTTGGGTGAGGAAAATTACGAATATTATTATTTATTAACATTGATAACTATTGTTATTATTACTGTTATTATTATTATTATAGACTTCGGTGTCGCGTAAATATGTGCGGCCTCGAGCCTGTTTTTGAAGTCTTTAACTTCTCCTCGAATCCAGTGTTTTACGTAAAGAGCTTTGGTTAAATTTGAAAGAAAAAAAAACCCTTCAAATTAATGTTTAGATGTATTATTTAATTCTTGTGCTTTTTTAAATTACCACTACAAAGAATCACCTCCGTTCGTTTTGGTTATCTCGCCAAAGATCTTGGATTTTTAAAAGTTTGCGTCGCAGCCTCCGGGAATAGACCGAGAGCAGAATTATACTTTAAAAATTAAAGTCAACAGTTTACATTTAAATTTAATATTTTGGTTGGTTTTTTTTTACACACACAAATTTGGGATACGACCATATATGGAATCAACGGTACACGCGGCCGAAAACATAGAGTATAAAAAGTGAAGAGGCTCAAAAGGCTTTTAGTCTTATAAGAACTTTAAGATAAAAGTAAAGTAAAAATCAGCAAAGAAAACAAATTAAAACAATTTAAAATTAAGAAAAAAAAAGGGAGAAACGTGAAACCTGAGAATCAAGAAGTCGCAGTAATTACTGCGTCTTTTTATATTTATTATGGCAAACTCTCAAAATCCCAAACACAAGATCGACACGAGTTATATTTAAAAATCCACATGGATGTTTATTATATAATTTGGTTTATTTTATGTAAATACGTACATTATTTTGTAAACTATTTTAGTTGATCTTATGTAATAATGTGCACCACTCTCCCATTTATACTAATATGACCTGCAGTTTATGACCAAATTAAATGCTAAAAATATGAATATAAATTATAATTTAAACAAACAGAAGAATGTTATGGTGTGTATTTGGGTTTTTTTTTACATTTGATTCTTTAACAAACACTTTTATTACTCATTATGAACAATTTAAATGAACAAATTTAATAATAATAATGGTAAATAATAATGGTAATGAATAAAAACATTGCTTCTTATTTCCAGGGAAATCATGGAAGGCCCTGACTCCCACTCAGAAGAGGCCCTATGTGGAGGAAGCAGAGAGACTCCGGGTCCAGCACATGCAGGACTACCCCAACTACAAGTATCGGCCTCGCAGGAAGAAGCAGCTGAAACGCATCTGCAAGCGAGTGGACCCCGGTTTCCTCCTGAGCGGTCTGGCCCCTGATCAGAATGCCCTGCCTGACCAGAGAGCCCTCTGTCTCCCCCCTGACAAAGATGAGGGCAGCCCTCATGGGGTCAGCGGTGGGTTTTCCAGCCCCAGCTCAGCCCTGCCCAGTGTCAGAAGCTTCAGGGACCCCGCCGGTTCCAACAGCAGCTTTGACACTTATCCCTACGGCCTGCCCACTCCTCCAGAGATGTCCCCGTTGGACGCCATGGACCACGAGCACGTGCCCCCCTCTTACTACTCGGCCTCTGGTAGCTCCTCCGTCTCCTGCTCTTCCTCAGCCTCCTGCTCGGACGAGCACCACCAGAATCAGACACACATTGGCAGCCCTCCACCCTACCACACCGACTACACCCAAATGCACTGTGGAGGCTCACACATAGGTCACATCCCTCACATGTCCCAGAGTGGAAGCAGCAGTGGACTGATCCCAGCGCTGTCTTACTACAGTACCTCGTCCTTCCCTCAGATCCACCACAGCCTTCACCAGGGCCACCTGGGTCAGCTGTCCCCCCCACCAGAGACTCAAGGCCACTTGGAGACTCTAGACCAGCTGAGCCAGGCCGAACTTCTCGGAGAGGTGGACCGCAATGAGTTTGACCAGTACCTGAACTCTACGGGGAGCGGCTTCCACCCGGAGCAGGGCGGCGGTATGACTGTCACAGGACACGTTCAGGTCGCCACTGCGTCTGCCACCATCTGCCCCAGTAGCTCTGCAGAAACCAGCCTCATTTCCGTGCTGGCAGATGCAACGGCAGCCTACTACAACAACTACGGCATCTCATAAGCCCCAAGGCTCGCCCGTCAGGCACGACAGCATTACAACGGTTGAATACACCAGGGTGTAATGTTGCACTCGGTCACTGAAAGATCTCTTTTTCAGTGTCTGTGTGCAACTTCAGCCTAACACGATTAAAACCTGAACTGGTTGCAGGAAAGTACAAAGTACAGTTGGAACAACGTGAAGAAAAGGAGATGGACACCTCAGGGAAGCAGACACAAATTATCGTTGAACACCGATCTCCCGTTGTGTTGAAGTGTGTCAACCAGAGGAGCAATCACAAAAGACTCGTCCACTTGTAAATGTTAGCGTTGCGGCTAGGCGATGTACAGGTGCTCTAGAAGCTAATTTAATGTTTTGTATAAACTCCTGCTGTAAGTAATATAATCGATTCTTTCCATTCAAATGTTTTATTGTATCATACGTGTCGCTCTCATCCGTTTGGGAGTTTTTACCTCAGTAGCTGTAAATAAATGAGGTTTTAGTGGGACATTTCTTACACAATTTAACAAAGCAGTGTATTATGAAGGCGAGAAGAGGCGTTTATACTTCTCAAGTAGCTAATAATATATGTATCATAACCTCTATGAAGAAAAATAATAATGTAATTATAACCGTATGCTGATTTAGGTTTGTGAAAGATGGTAATTTAAAAAAGAAATAAAGGTCCATTTTTGTATTAATGAGAAGTTATGTGGATGTGAATAATGCAGAGTCTATGAGTTTGCAAACCTTTACGCCCAAAACTGGATAATTATAAAAACTGACAAAGACACAAAGAATAAAAATCATGAAAACAAAACAGGACTCTAGCCTTTCACAGGACGGGGCTGCGAGGGATTTGATTATCTTGCATTTTGCTTTTGTTGTTTCCTGCTAGTTTAGGTTTTGCTGAGTGTTGCCCGTAGTGACACCCATTCCTGTGCCAGTTTTTCAGTGCATCTGTCTTCCTTACTTTTGGTTTCATCTGCGTTTGTGAGGATACGTGTTAAACAGAACCAGCCGTTCGTTGTTTAAACCACCGCTCTATCCCAGGTGCCGTGTTCATCTCTTTTCTGCCCGTCAACATATGTTGAATCATGCTGGTATAGACCTCAAAAAAAAAAAAAAAAAAAAAAAATTGAAAAAAAAAAGCATTAGAAGGTAATTAGGTTTGTGACTTTTTTGCATTCTGTTAATATTGCTCCTATTTCCTCTCTTTTCTTTCTTACCCTCAATTTTTTTTCTTTCATTTTTGTTAAAAGGAATTCGGGGGATTTCAAATCCTGGAGTCTGGCTGGTCTTCCTGCATTTTTTGGGAACGGTTGAGTCGTGCTTCTTGTAAAAAGGATGTAGCAGAGGAGCAGTGTTTCCTGGCTGATAAGGGAAAAGCCTCTCTCCGTCAGGATGTTTGGGCCTGGCTGGGCCTGGCATTAAAGAGTCAGAGTGAGGGAAGGGAACCCGCTGTTCAGTGAGTGGGAGGAAACACGACTGTGCTGATTAGCATCTTACTTAGCTGTCTTTACTTTTACCCACAGGACAGATTTATTAACCTGGTGTGTGGTGGTTTGACCAGAGAAACTTCACAAAAACAGATTTTTTTTTCCCACCATAAACTGCGCTGCTCTGAACATATACACGTTGACGTGGCTTTTTCACAAAGACACATGACCGTGCTCTGTCAAATCCAGGTCTGTGATTGTTATTAACCTGAACAGAATGACAACATCCATCATGTGTCCATGTTTGTAGCTGCTACATATTGTGCTCTTGTTCTTTAAGGTTATATCATTAGCCTTTGTGCCTGCAGGGAGTCAAAAGTCTGTGGAGGGTCTGTTTGAGTGCGGCTACGTTTTGGATGAGGCAAGTCGGGCGGGTGGTGCCCCAGGCATTTAGGGTGAGAGAGAGGAGGCAGTGGTGCAGCGTCAGCCGCAGAGGTGTCGGGGTCAGGTCGGGGTGCTGCAGCAGACTCCCCTGGTAAAGGCCTCTATGCTGTGTCTCAACGGTCACGTCCACCACCGCAGGGTAGGACACGGTAACTCTGACAAGGACAAAGACTTAAAACATCAACTAAAGTATCCTCGCATTACCTCTATTATCTAAATGTTGACACACAAGGTCAATATTTGTGGAGAACACTGAGAAACACTCATTTTTAATTTCTGAGTCATTCAGTTTATCCACTTGAAAATAAATAAATTCATATTTTACTTCAACATTTGTTCTTGAGGTAAAATTTGTTTGTATTTTTCTGTTTGATGTTTTTTCCTTTTTTTACTTAGGAAATACATATTTTTTCTTGATTCTTACAAAAAGTTCATCTGACTGCAATGCCATTGTTTCTACTACACAGCTTTCCTTTGCATTAATGATTGTTCATTAATTAAATGCGAACACACATGCCGTCAAAAATACCTCAATGACTTTCACAGAAATTACATTTAAACTTTGCGAATACTGCACTTTTAAGAATTGAAGAAAAAGCTCAGTGTTTGTCACCTTACATCCTTTACTCTCCGTCTGACTCACTGTCATCGCAACCTTGATTCAGACGATACCCCAGAAAAACAGACGCAGCTGCGGCTGCAGTTTCAGCTGCAATAAATCAACAAGGGAAGAAGGAGAACATAATGTGTCACCCAACAGTGGAATGACATTGTTGTGCACTGCAGACTCCCATTTTTTACACACAGATACTCGCAGCATGTCTATGACAGGGTAAAGCCTTCCTCTTATATTTGAGGGGCAGAATTTGATAAAAAAATCCAATCTAATGTAGACCTGGACTGAAAGATTTACAATATTTGTCAATAAAAGGATATAGGCTGAACAAACAAAAGAGCCCCTTCTTGTTATTTCTTTCTGATTGCTCGCTGGCACTGCTCCAGGATCAGGTCAAGCCTTTGGAATGAGCCTGTCAGGTAGTCTGTTGTGTTTCCTATTTCCTCCTCTGCGGTCATGTCACTTCCCTGACCAAACAAACAACTCGGCCTGTCTAAGTCAACACCGACTGTCAAGGTAAGACACCGTGTGTGGACAGGACCGAGGCTTAGCACAGCTGTATTATCCATCTGATTGGACTGTAGTGATCGCCGTGAGTGTCGCGTCCTCCAGAGGCACGTAGGAGGCTCACTGTCTGGTTGGTGCGGCGCTCTATTGTGTAGAAAGCGCGGGAGCTTTTTAATCACGTCATATTCCGAGGATAACCATGTTTGGATTATGACGTTCTATGTGTATGGACTGTGGGTCAGGAGGAAGTGCTTAATCTGGACTACGTGACTAAGGAATATCGACGCATGAGACTGCGATGGCCTTTAGAACAACTTAACAAGCTTTGCACCTAATGACATTTTAACAAACAATTAGTCTGGTGTGTTCTGTGTGTGTTACTGTGGGTGTGTATGAATACATATGAATAATCCTCGCTGCCTGCTGTGAACATTAGCTGCGGTCCTTTTCTGTACAGTGTGCTGTGACTGATGTTGCAGCCCAGATCATGAGATGAATGTGCTGCCAGAACATCATGGGTTTTTTTTTATTATTTAATCTAAAAATATCATTTTCATCAGTTAGAAGATAAAGTTCCTGAAGCAATTCTGTGAAGACGGTCCTGATGCAGCAGGAAGTCAGTGGCTGCTGTTTGTCTGTGTTGTGACGCTATGGCTCAAGTGGGTACTTATTGTGAGTGCAGAGCTCTTCTGTTTTGTTGGGTTGTACACATCCAACCTTGGGTTGACAAAGTGTTAGAACATTTGTAGCCAGGACTGTTGTTGTGCCTTCACTCACTGATAGATTTACAGCTTTTACTTCAAAATTGTATTTTAAACAATGCAAAATGTCTAATTCTAATGGACGTCAAATTACAAGTCAGAGCATTTTACCCCTCTGTGGGGCAAATGAACAAATGTTGAAATCTGAATGAATTTCCCACAGGTGACCCTGACTTTATCAAAACCACTTCAATTTTGTAACATAGACTGCCAATTTAAAGGACAAATTGAAGAACATAATAATACATAATTTAATTCCTGGCCACAATTTTCTCTCTACATAAAATCAACTTTGCTCTAAATTTGAAAAAGAAGTTGATAAAGGCAATGAAGACAGGCATCAGTGAAATCCTTAATGTTGTCCAGTTGGAGCTTGTTACAACCGCATAAGAACCTGTTTACAATTTGTACTTGGACCTGAATCTGGCCAAAGGAGGAAAGACAGTAACACACACACACACACACACACACAAGCATGCATGCAAGGGGAGATTATGGACCGCAGTGATTCTTCATCTCATTGTTGCTCACCAACATGCAGAGTGTGGGGCGGTGGGCAGGCTTGTACGTCGCCGGACAAAGAATGGACCAGACTCGTCGAGGGACGTGTGCCATGTGGCACAAGGATGTGCAGGGACACAGATGGGGACCCCTGGAAAACTTGGGGGACTGAACGAGCAGCCAAGGGCCTCCCATCCATACCTGTGCTGTGAATGCTGCAGCTGAACAGGACGCGGCACCTGTTCTAAGCAGATACAGGCAAGCAGCGAAAGCACAGAGGGAGGCCAGCGTACGGCTGCCAAGGCGAGGAAGGAGAAGGCTAGATTTCCATTTAGCCACAAGTACAGCCTGGTTACTGAAAGCAACGCAGGAGCAAGGAAGCTAGTGCAAAAATATTACAAAATGACAGTTATAGAAGTACATTTTGTTAACGACACCATTGGAATAAATTGAATAAATATATTAAGTGACATCATATGTTCAAAGATAAAAGAAAAACAACAAAACATTTCAGTGATGATTAAGTTAATTATCAATCTCTCTCTCTCTCTCTCTCTCTCTCTCTCTCCCTCTCCCTCCCTCCCTCCCTGCCTCTCTCTTTGTCTGGTAGCATTAGCTACTGTATAAGCAGCAGCACTACTTGGCTTGTTTTTGACTGCTGATTCTCCCTGGGGTGGTATAACTCTTCACCTCGCTGTGGAGGAGGATGTTCCTATTGTCCTTCCTAATTGCGATGCGGTTGTTCCATTCAGGAGATATAACGTCCTATAACTGTTCCCTGAGATTGCATACTGTAGGAGTCACTGGAGGAGCCGTAGTGCGTTTAGATTCCCATAGAAAATGTGTATCTAGCAGTGATCTAATGCTCCTTTCACTGTGACATTTTAAATGCTGTTCCGTATTTGAAATTATTACCAAAAGCTTTGAACCAGAAGCATTCGATCATCAATGATCAAATTGTGCTGACTGGAAGTCAAGCGCCTACATGACTTCAGGTCACCCACCCGTCTTTCCATTTTAGCGGCCCTACTACTGCCACCGTCCTGCACCGACAGATTTGACTCAGCTCGCATCCTGAAATGCAGACGTGTTAATGACACAGATGAGTGATGTTATAAAATCAGCAGTGAGAGAGAGCCTTTTAACAGCTCCACTGTAGAATAGACAAAGCAAACCTCCAAATCCACAGACCATTCCATGTTTTGGATATATAGGGAGGTAAAAAACAGAAAATGTGGGTTTTGTGGAAGGTGAATTTGAAAATGACAATGAAGCCAATATTTTAAATCTCTTTATTGTAAAATATCTGTCTAACATTAAAAAGAAGGGAATAGCTTATTAATGTTAAAAAGACAATTGCAATCTTTAAAAGTTTTTCAGTCTAAGCCCTACTCAAGCAGTTACACAAACACATGAAACTTACTGTTTCAATTTCCAGCCGCCCTCACTTCATTGTGTAAGTCTAGTTTGGTAGAAAAATGTACTTTGGCTTTGAGTTCAATATCGCTCATTTTTAAAACCTGCCTGAAACTTATATAAATATAATAATAAACGTATTTGGAACTGTTGTAGACAGCCCTTGACAATGAATTTAAATAATTCAAATACACCTCAACACTCCCCCCGTGTTGACATGTCAATCACTTGTCATTTACGTCCATCAAAACCAACCTAAGGTATTACATTCCTACGTACAGGAACAACGACCTCATTTACTGCTGCTGCTAAGTACGTCATCCATGACACACAACATTTCCTCCACCTTGATGTGCTGTTTATGCTTAGGGATTCTGGGTAAGATTCTGGTACTGACCTTGGCAGTGGGTCACACTGGCATCATTTCCATTCTGACTCCCAGTCCTCTGACCTTACATGATGAGTGTAATACTCGGGATGTTGTTGATGTCTGAGCTTGAAGGAATCCCTTCCTGCTGGATGCTCGGCCCGGTTTCCTTAAGACCCAACATCAAAAATGAGCCACGCGGAAATGACTCACACAGCTGTCCCCAGGGCTGAGACACTTCAACTAAAGTACGGTGCTGACAGGTTCAAAACAGGATATGGACTGGATTGGTCCCTGTTTATTACAGATGGCCGAATACTTAAGAGCAGTGATTGCTGAACGCTCTGATAAGAAAGTCCAGCAGTCAGAGTCACGTTTCTGCAGGGTAACCTACATGTCGGCACAGATATTACTTCAATGTCTTTTGAAGTAATATTGCTTCGGATCTGATTCTTGCCTTTATTTCAATGTCCTTTATTTCTTTGGGGGGGTTGGAGTCTTTCAGCGTGCAGCTTTCCCAGGTTCTGAGTAACTGTAAAAAGTCATTAATTACCACAGCTCCTGACCTTAAAGGCCAAGTTACACCATTTATAAACTGGCCATTTTTTTGCTTAGTGGTCTGTTATTAATTCTCCTGAGCTTCTCGTACACAAACTAAATAGGAATAATATGAACTGATTCATTACCACAGCATTATAGAAAAATAATGTCAATGAATGCTTTTTTTTTATAAAGAGAGTTTTTTATTTCCTCTTAATTGTCTTTTCCTTTACACTGTTTAAGATAAAACAAAGGAACTGTTCTCTTGTCTTGGTTGCTTGATGTAGAACAACGTATTTGAATATATATTTTTTCTCTGATTTGGATGCTCAAGTCTTACCTTAGTATTAAAGCTTTGCTGGTTTCACTGCTCAGGGCTTCAGTGCAGCTTTAACACAACCCACACAGCAGGTCATCCTCTAATCAGCCTTGATATTCTAACAGCAGCCAGGAGGGGGGAGTGATAAGCCTGAGCTGTAACACACACGTGAACAGGACAGTGATGAGCTTTTTTTTTTTTAAAAGGAAAAATATTTGACAAGATGAATATCAACCCTTTGGAAACTGCAGATATTCATTTTTTCTCGTTTTGAAGGTTCAATTTTAACTAGAGTTAATGTATTTTAGACTTGAGCTCATCATAAGTATTAGTTATTGCAGACTGCAGGCAAGGTAAAGAAAATCCAAGACAAATGCAAAGAAAATATTTGTTTACATATATAAAAAATCTATATGTCTGTTATAATTAGAAAATTGCAATTCTAATTCCAAAATTTAAAAAAAATCAATAAAGTGTGATTGGCATAAGACGTAATGATTAGAGTTAATAGGAAAAGGGGAAACCCTATTAAAATGATTTTTGACTCATTGTCAACCAACAGCTCCAAGGAAAATTGAATGTGTCTCTTTCTGATACTGTTACTAGTATTTCCATCTTTTGTGCCATGGCTGATGACATACTGCCTGTGTGTTGGATCTGCACTGTTAACAACCTGGACTAGTCCAGATACAGTCAACTGTTGCTATTTTTTTACATACCAGGTATATCAGCATTTCTGGAAATGGTGTTTGTGTTTCATTATGGACAAGAGAAGACGTGAAATCAAGTCTTTCTTATGTCGGACTCTGTGATGATGTCACGCTGCACTGACTCACATTGATCAGAAACTCTTTGGGTTACTTCCAAGCAAGGCAAGAGTTTTCCTCACACAGGAAAAACTCAACTTCTTTTCTGAGTCACTCACGGTCTGTTGTCATGACTCAGCAGGGGAGGTCTTTTTCCTCTGTTCTCCCGTGAGTCAGGACACAATAAATCTGCCCACCTCCAGTCAACTCCACCCTCCACGACCCTTCAAGCTGCTTAAGACTTAAGATAGATGGCAGCTCCAGAGCTCGGCCCTCTGTGTGGGTTAGCGTTAGCCTGGTGGGAGTGGGTGCTCCTGTAATTAAGCGCTTTCTTGAACCTTCCGTCATCAGTGTGTGGGAAGTGGGGGGGGGGTTGGGGGCTGTCATCTGTAAACCCCTGATAAGGGTAACCCCTCCTGTATTGTAGTGCCTGAGAAGAGTGAGATGACCCAGGGGAATATTTACAGAACCTTATCTAAAATATTTTTTAGAAAAACACACATACTGGTAGTCTGTGATTAGTGTTTTATTTTGTTGTTGTTGTTTTTTTTTTACCTTGTAAGCATTTCTCATCCTTGTTCAACAGTTTGCATGATGTGATCATGCCGACCAGGCTGCTGAGTCCAACTGGGCTAATTAGCAAAAGGCTTTGCCTTATTAGCATCACAGTGACCTGGAAAACAAATGGGTGGTTTTATTGCTGCTCTTTCTGCACATTCATCTTGTTTTAACCCGATGTGACAACTTTTTGTCTTTTGCTGGAATTTTGTTTTTATCTGCTTTGTTTTCTTGGTGTATAGCAAGCTGTACAACATGGCATTATAATTAAGAGCTTAAAATAATATATAATAATCATTCTTAATTATAGTTTTAAAATCTTTGCTGTTCGCAAAATAAAGATATCACAGAGAACCCTGAAAATAATTTCACAGGAAATCCAGAAATATATGTTTACTTTTATGACACACTGAAATATATTCCACAAGTGGCTTTGACAGCTTTAAAATGGTCAAGAAATGAAATCTTTAAACATCCTGGATGCACACAGGGAAATGGTTAAAGATCAATGCATATCCAAACCCAGTCACAGCTGCAGCCGTGTACTGTATAGATGGCTGAAGGACAAACGTGTGGCAGATGCCCAGTCATAACTTGTCACTGAGTCTTCAACTCCTTTTCTAAAAGCGTGTTTAACTCGCTTTATGCAACGCTGAAGTCCGAGTCATGTGTCCAAAGCCTCAGCAGATTTGAGTCCAAACGCAGAGTGATTAACGAGGCTTTGCATTCTATCCTTAGCTTCTCATGTACCTGATTAGCAGGTAGGCCTGCTTCTGCACTGAGGCTTTTGAACTGCATTCTGGCTGCGCTGCCTGCAGCAGCTCGTGTGTTTCTGCAGGAGTTCATATCTGGCAGAACTGGAATTTAGTTTCTTGATTCTCTGGATTATGGACGTGTATGGTGTGAGTATGCATCGCTTGTCCATTTTGTTTGGAGGGAGCTGTATAATGACTCTCAACAAGATAATTAAAAAAGTGATAGCAGAAAGTGAGAGAACAGTAATTGATAAAGTAGAGCAGGCCTCTGTGTACGAGCCACAGTTGGCAAATATGATAAAAAAAAGGGACAAAAAAAGATCCTAAAACCTAGTATTAGTAAAAATTAGTATTTGAATAATAGTATTCAAATGACTAATTCCCCAAATTAAACATTACTCTGTTTTTTAGCAGCAGGACATTTGCAGAACAAATTGAACTGCCAAGTGTTGTGTTGTGAGTTTTCCTAATGAAACTTGTGAATTTTTACCACAAAAGTACTTCATTGCCTTCTCAGATATTTTGAAAGTCATCTGCAACTACCTTTATGCTTTAAGGTTCTACTACATACTAAGTACAATACAATGTATTTGCAGAGCTTGCAGCAACTGCTTTAATGTTTTAAGAGCGTGCACAGTAATATTATGAGTACAACACTGATGATACTGTACAAGTACATGAACAATAGATGTATCTGTTCTAGGTTTTTACTCCAGCTCAGCCTATCTTTGCAGTAATTGTGCCTCCTTCCATCAAACGGCACAGAATAGTCCTCACCTCGGTGTATTGTTTCAGAATACACTGAGACTTTTATAGGAAATCCTCGCTTTATTGATCAGGGCAGAGAAAAAATTATTCTGACAGAGTCAGCATTTTTTCTACACTGACAGTGACATCTATAAAAAGCTAAGGTCCACTTTCACCACTGGGCCTTAAGCTTGTTATTTTAAGTCACTTGGAGGATTTTTGGAGCACTATCCTCATTACTCTCTGCTTCATCCTAAAGCTCTGTGAGCACATGTAACAACCAGGTTACCTAAGGTTTTTATCTATTTAAAACAGAGCAGTAAATATATAAAATGGAAACAATTTTATTTAATTATATCCAAAATGTACAACTATACCTAATATGAATGTTAACATTTACTTTAATAAACTATCGCTTCTTTTGCTAGCACCATGTTGTATAAAGTATATTACACCATATAACTATACCTACCAAAATAACATTGAATCACCCTTTACTGTAGACATGAAAATAACCGTATACCATAACCCAGATAATATAATAAGTATAATAGAGCAGATTCTTGATTGCATTATTCGTTCTTGGTTTCCGATCACTTATGGCAGATTACAATTTCCTTATATTATTTGTATTTAATATTACAGAGTATAAAACACTTTTTTATATATAAATGTATATTCCCCCCTTGTGTTTAGTTTTTTCACATTTCAGCCTTGAATCCATGGAATCCACACAGATGAGTGGGGCATCAGCTCGGACTAACTCATGAAAAACCCCTGACCAAAGCCGTGGGTCGCTGACACCTTCCTGAACTCACCTGAGATATTTCACTCCGAGGACAGAGAAGACAGTTCAACATGTCCTCCAAAAAGCACAGCTTTCAGTGCTTCAACTCTGCAGGATGTGAAAGTCCAAGAAGGGCTACTCTGCACCACACCACTGGCTTACCCAGAATTCCTAAGCATGGCCTGGTGGGCCGCCACGAGCCTCTGGAGGTTTGCCCGGCGCACGGACACGGCCATACTTGTGACCCATTACCTTTCTGTCTGCACCAGCAGCCACACCAGTGTGTTCACGCGGCGCCAGTCAGACCCGAAGAAACGCATTTTGACCACGGTCGCCACGTTCATTCTCACCACAGGCACAGCCGGCGGGTGGTGTTAGTGAAGAACAGCGACCCCTCTGTCAGGAAGACCATCGTTTTGCACTGCAGGAGTATACGCAGTTTGGGCCTTTTCTTAGAGGAGGTGTCTGAGCTGATGCAGTACAACATAAGAAAACTCTACACTGTTGACGGTCGTAAGGTAAGCCATAAACATCTACAATTAAATTGTGGTTTCCAAAGTGGGGGTCGCAACCCGTACTAGGGCAGGGAATAAAGTTGTAAAATGATTCATTCAACAATAATTACAGTTAATAATTACAGTTTAAAATGTTTCCATTATATTGTCAGTATAACTTTAGCTAATATAAAGAATAAATAGATGGTTAAATGTTTGGAGAGGGAGTCAAGCAGGGATATTCCTACACACTCAGATTGTGGTTTTCTCTACAACCCATTAATCTCGGTCAAATCAGAGCTATTTTTGAGAGAGAAGAAACAGGTCATCGTAGAAAAATCCACTCTCCTGGTTTTGTGATACCAGTGGTGTCTCAGAAACACGTCTTCCACAGTGGTAATTAATAACCCTCCTTTGGGGTTTGTGTGACCATGGGTGAAGCTATTCATCTGCCTTTTACCAACGGGGGCTTTAAATCCAAAACTGCACTGTCATCAAAACTGACTGCTCATCGCCAACAACATCAACCGTACTCGCAGTATTTCAAACTTCTTTTTCCTCAGTGCTTTTTATCAATGCCATTAAATTAAGGTTTGTTACTTAAGCACTGAGTTTAGTGATTTTTAAAATATATCAATCGATTTTCTAAAAAAAAAAAAAAAAAAAAAAAAAAAAAGGATTTTTTGCAACAGTCTTGCTGTAAAAAGTGTTTCACGCCAGACATTGTTGTAGCAGCCCCGTCTGTAAGCAGAATGCCATGAACCCTGGTCTTGTTGTGGTAAATATAATCATGAAACAATGCTTATGTTACATTAACAAACTTCTTTCTTCTTTTCCAGATTGACAATGTGCAGACTCTCATGCAGTGTCCCAGCGTTCTTGTCTGTGTTGGACACAAACCTTCTCACCCGTCCATTGCAGATTTGTTTCGGCAATCAGCTGATGACCGGCTTCCAAAGTTGAGTGTGAGGACGATCTGCATTGAAAGAACTGAGGGTGAATACTGTATTTGCATCCCTGTTGACATTACCATTGTATTGCTGCATAAATTATTGCTGTAAAAGAACAAAATTACTAATTTTATATATTTTTCGTTATTCCCAACGCTTTGCCTGCTGATGATCATGTTAATGAAATAATGAAGGAGCTCCAATACAGAAAAATGAAAACAATCCAAACCAAGAATGCAATGAGAAATCAAATGGTGACACATATTCATTTGACAAGTCTTTACCAAATGGAACTGACTTTCCACATCATTTGGATCCTCAACCACCAACTGGTGAGGGGCCAAGACATGACGACATCAAGAAACGAGTTCGTGTCAATAAAGATGGGAGTTTGTCCATGGAAATGAAAGTTCGTTTCCTGCTACAACAAGACCAAACTTTACACTGGTCCACAAAGGTGAAAAAGACAAACTGGAGCAGCTGTAATTACACCCGAGGTCACAGTGACACTTACGTTGCAGCAATTAGTGACAAAAGCTTTTCCGAATCAGACGTTTCCACTGGTGATCAAGATGAGGATCACGTCACAGCGCACTGTGCAAGGAATGGGGAGGAACGTCACTGTTCCCACTGCAACAATCAGGATTATGACATCTGGAAAAATATTCCAGGGACCAACGGTGCAAGCCGTTGCATCCATACTTCCAGCTCAAGTGCATCCTCACACAAAGTGGTTTATAGAAAGACTGTGCGGGAACAACAAAGTGTGTCAAGATCTAGTGAGGAGCAGGTGGTGGAGAGAGAAACGACCATCAGGCAGACTGTCGAGGACGCCAACACTGTGGAATACTGTACCACCAGGAGCGGATCTTACTCCCAACATTGCAATGATCAATCTTCCAAAAGCTGTGTGGCATCTGGTGATGATTATCCAAATGATCAGGTCAAAGCAGAATCAAAACAATCGTTCCAAAATGGTCCACCAGAGGATGACACCGTGTTCGACACCAGCCCAGCAGCAGGAGGTAAATCCTCCAGTCCCACAGAAAAAGCATCAAATTCTTCAGTGCAATCCACGGAGTCAAGGAAATCCTATCTGTGCCAGTGCAGAGCATCAGATGCTACTGAAGGTTACACAAAGGGAAGTGATGAAGAAAAAACAAGTGCCATATCTGCTGAATTCAACATCACCGAAAGTTTCAAGAAGACTCCTGAAAATCCTGAGTATGACGATATAGAAGTTAAAAGACCCAAAAGTGCCACATCAGTAGAAGACGAAAAGCAACTAAGACCTCAAAGTAATGTGTCTTGTAAATCCTCTAAGTCTGAAAGATCTACAAAATTAGAAATGGCAGCTAGTCAAACAAAATCTGAGGGTTGTGAGGAAGAAAGAGCACCAAGTTCCGTGTCTTTGAAGTCCAGAGCTTCCAGTAAGTCCAGGAGATCAGGTGTTTCTTCCTCTCCTAAAATGGAACAAGCTGAAGAAGAAGAAAATGAGAGTAAAATTAAAGAGAGATCACAAAGTGCAATGTCTCAGAAATCTAATCTTTCTGGAAAATCTAAAACATCAAGAACTTCTGAAGCAGCTAATAAAGAAATCCTAGATGAAATACCTGGAGTAGGTCTTGAGAATTTCAAAGAACAACTTGAAACTGTAAATGCTGGAGGAGGTGAAGGCCGAGCACCAAGTGTCTCACCTTCTGAATCAAATTCTTCTGAACAATCAAAACCATCTGAGGTAAAAGCTGACGAGAATGTGACTCAACATCTGGAGGGAACATCTACTGACATGTCACAAATATCTTCAAAATGCAATACTGAGCACCAACAGAATTCAGACACAGGACACAATGCAGATAATGAGGACAGTGGTGCAGAAGCTGTGGATGGAGCTTCATTGGCAAAATCTACAAGGTCAAAGGTATCGACAGAATCCAACAAATCTAGCTTGAAAGGTCAAACAGATGCAAAGCATGAAGAACTACTGGCTGAAACTGAAGAATGTGAAAGAGTTCTGACTCCATTGTCTGTGAGGTCAAATGTTTCTTCAGCTTCTAAAAAGTCAAGTAAAGTAAATGCTGAAGATGTAGATGAACCACCTGCTACAACCACTAGTCCTATGACACTTAGTCACGAAATATCAGATGAGAGACCAAAAAGCCAAATGTCAGTGAAATCTTCAACATCCAGGAAGTCAAATAAGTCAGCAAAATCCAGCAAATCTACAGCTCCTGTAGTTACTCACAAAGATGCTGAGGAAACTGAAGGAGGCGTCAGAGGAAGCAGCAGTGAGATGCAAGAGGAACAGGCAGAGAGAGTGACGAGCAGCATGTCGGCAAATTCAAACATTTCTGCCAGGTCTACAATTCCAAACCACGTCCACTGCACTTGCCACATTGACATTGGTGCTGAAGGGTCTGCTGCGTCTGAAATCACTGAAAGTTCAGTGAGCTGCATGTCAGATAAATCTGCATTTTCAGTCAAAACAGCGAGATCAAGTGTTTCAAATGTCTGTGGTGGTTTAGCAAGTACTGGTAAATATGAGGATGAGAATGGGAGTAGTGCTCTGTCTGTGAAATCTGCAAAGTCAAACGCCTCAGTCAGATCTTCCAGATCCAAAAAGTCTGCAATTTCTGCAAAATCCAACATGTCACTGCCTAAAGGGGGCGTTGGTGAACATTCTGAACTTAAAAACAAGGCTCAAAATGATGGGAGCAATGGATCTGAAGCTGACCACACTGAAGAAAGAGCAAAAAGCCAAATATCAGTTCACTCACATGGTTCAGAGAGATCAAAGAGTGTTTTATCTGTGAAATCAACAAAGTCTCGTGCTTCCAGAAAGTCTACAAAATCAGCTGTTT